CCTTTTTTTCTCCCATCTAAGATTACTTGTTCATTAAAGATGGCTTCTTCTTTGTCGCAATCTTCTTGTTCTGCAGGCATTTCTTGTTTCTCATAATTCCAAATCTCCATTTCTAAAAACTGAAATATGAAGCCAAAAGAACCTCTCCCTTCTTGTGTATCTTCTTTGTACTTTTTAAGTTCCATTTTCAGTTCTTCTAAAAGTGGAGCCATTTTAAACAGTTTTAAACAACCACCCGATTGATTTTAGTCATTCAAAACAATAACCAAGAATCCAGAAATCAAGTAATCCAGATAGTCCTGAATTATATCTTCTTATTTCTTTTTCGACTTTCTCTTCCCGGGGTTTTTGTTGCGATATTTCAGTTAGAATGTATCTTTTGGAAGTCTTGTTGAGATTTTGCTATAAGTTCTTTTTTAATTCCAGGCGGTCTCCTCTCTTCCAGATCCTGCCCTTTTATTCTTTTTCTCTCCTTTCCTGTTTTCAAAAGCTTTTAATTATCCAGAAATCTTTATTATCCCTTTGACTTTTTATTTTCAGCATTAAATGCCTATTGATGTCAAAGTGGATTTTTTTCCAATTTCTTACTTAAGTCTCTTAGCTGTCAGTATAGGAAAAGGAGAAAAAAAAAACCCAAATCTTTTCCCTTTTCTCTCTCCTTTGCAGCTTAAAAATCTTCTTAGGGAACAATGTTATTGTTTTTTAATAGTTTCAATTCCAGGGTACCTTATTTGTTGCTTTTGCTGTTTGACCCAGTCAACCAAAACTTTCTCCTCTTATCTTCCTCCTGCACATTCTTTTCCGGTCGAGTTCTTCTTTGTGGTGGCCATTTCTGACCACCACTGCAACCGCCTTCGGGAAAGGGAGTAATGGCCAGCTGGGGAGGAGAGATGCGGCTCTCCTCAACCCTGCAGGCAGTCTCCCCCCTCCACCACCTCTATGGGGTGGCTTAGCCCCGAAGTCAGCCGGCTCGGGGCGCTCCAGCGGCGAGCACTGATTGAAGCTTCGCAGAGACAAGGTTTCGGTCTGTCGCTGAAGAAGCTCAAACCGGAAGAGCTGGGTCTTCTTTTGTTGCCCTGCACAGAAGAACAGAGCTGGAAAGCAGGTTAGTGGGGTGGAGAAGGAATGGAATTTTGCAGTAACCTTCCCCCAGGAGTGGAAGGGAATGGGAATTTGCAGTAACTTTCCCCCAGGAGTGGGGAGGGAATGGAGATTAAGCAGTAACCTTCCCCTGCCACGTCCAAGCCATGCCCATGATGCCATGCCATGCCCACCAAGCCACACCCACAGAATTGGTAGTAAAAGTTTTAGAATCCCACCACTGGTCAAGATTTTTGATTCTTTTTTCTTATGAGGATTCTTGACTAAAGCATCTTATACAGTAATAAACTGAATCCAGGTGTATGTAAATTATTCCTCTGTTTGCTTCTGTTTTTCTCCCTTGTATTCTATTTCATAGATAGTGGTAGAGTCATATCTAATATTTAAATGGAATACTGTAATGAAATTGGATAGTGTAGGCTAGATTGAGGAAGTAGGAAAATATCCTTGAAGAAGGCAGTAATAACCCCTTCAGCATTATTGCCAAGAAAGACTACATGGAGAAGCCCAGGTACGCAGTAGCTTAATTTAGTCTTAGTCAATGTTCTGTCAAAGTTGTTATTTGTAAAGCAACGTAAGTATAATTAGTGTTATAGAAAGGAATATTTGATCAGCAAAAACATATAGTAACTGTATCAGATAAAACTATCCTATTTATTAGCTGAGTTAAATTGCATGGTTGTGAATTAAACTGAAATACAATGCAAGACTGTTTATTTTACACTGATTATGTCTGAAATATTGAAATGAGTAATGAGATAGAGTGAATGGAAAAGCTATTTATATAGGCTTATGTGGACTCATGGGGTATAGTAACTGTTGGCAACAAAGCATTATAGAAAGATTAAGGTAAGGTAGTGATGAACACTTTATCTAACATTATTGATCTTGTGATATTTTAAAGTGTGTATCGGGCTACAACCTGCTATCCTACATTATTATTTCTAACTACATGAGCTCTGTACTTTATTGTTGTGCTAGCTTCAGTTCTATGTTAACATTTAAACTTACACTCTGCCAACTACTTCTGACTTGGCTTTCTTTATTATTGGGCTGCTAATTGATTCACCTGTGCTTGACCATCATGATACTGGGACTGTTCCACTCTTGCTTGGCATGACCATCAGTGTCACATCTTATAATGTTGGTTCTTGCTTTGCCTGACTTTGCCTATTTTGACTTTAGCTCTGTGGTAATAATCCTTCAGCATTGTCTCCTCCCTTGTCTTTGCTTTTCTTGACCATTTGGTGTACTTGGTCCTTTTTGGCTTGACCTGTTCATTGGATGCTTTGGTTTGACATTTTCTCTGCACCTGTTACTAATGTGGCTGACAATACTGGCTGCTACTATGGCCATATTCCCTGGTTTTCTATTGCTACTACCATCCAAGTTTGGCAGGATGTAACTTTCTTTCCTTTTCCCATTATACTCTGTTGAACTCTATTACTTCTATTTTTAGTAAGATAGTTCCTGGTATCACTGACTTTAGCCTTAGGCTATGGTTGTACAATTCAATTGTTTTTTACTACCGGTTCTGTGGGTGTGGCTTGGTGGGCATGGCATGGCTTGGCGGGCTGGCTTGGTGGCCGTAGCAGGGGAAGGATACTATAAAATCTCCATTCCCATCCCACCCCACTCCATTCCTGAGGGAAGGTTATTGCAAAATCCTCCCCACCCCACTAACCTGCTTTCCAGCTCCGTTCTCCTGTGCAGGGCAACAAAAGAAGACCCAGCCAATCAGCTGGGACTTGGGAGGCAGAGAATAGATGGGGTGGGGCCAGTCAGAGGTGGTATTTGCCGGTTCTCTGAACTACTCAGTTTTCCGCTACTGGTTCTCTGGAACTGGTCAGAACCTGTTGAATACCACCTCTGCACTGGCATCACCTTTCAGCCTTTCCAGACAACTGCTAAGCCTCCAGGGTCTTTTAGAGTCAGACATTGGTTACTTGCAATTTACAGGCAGGAAGACTAACCATTTCCGCTTCTCTACCTTCTTTCTTCTGGTTTGAATTTCTCTTATAGCCTGTCACTACTAAACTTTCTAGTAGAGAACTTTTCCCGTTGAGGCTTACTAGCCACCTGGGCTGTGACCTCTACTTCTCCAGCTTTGTCTGAATCTGCTGTAATTACATTCTTCTGGAATTGCTTCTCCAACTCAAAAGCAACTCCTTCCCTGTTCTGCAACAAGTACCGTAGTTCTTCGATAGCCCTGCACAGAGTACAAAATATATTTATACACTTTCAGCTGCAGGTTTATCTCTCACCCAGCATCTTTGGCTTCTTCTTTTTTCTTCTTCTAATCTTAGTCCTTTGGCATTCTTCTTTCCAGTTTTTGTTCTTGTTTTCTGGCATTTTGAAATCCCACATCACCCCTTCATTATGAAGCAACCAAGCCATCAAGGAAGTCCCCCTTTAGAGCAGCGGTCGCCAACAGGTGGGCCACGGCCCACTGGTGGGCCGCGATAAAATTTTGGTGGGCCACAGAGAAATCTCACCCCCAGAGCACCCCCCAAAACAATTAATCCAGGCTGCACAGAAACACAGACCTGCGCCGCCCACATGTCCCGCGGGAACCCTTCCTGCTCACTTACTCCTTACCTGGCAAACTTGCCTGCTAAATTGCTATTTTTCTGACCATCAGCTGTTCTGCTGTGCTGGGAGATTTAGATTAGCTAGGAAGCAGGAAATGGTTGGATGTCTTTAGATCTTTAGCTAGTCTTTAGATCTTTGGCTCTGCTTTTAAGCACAGCCGAACCTCCCTTAGGACTGAAGGTTCTATTATTCAGTGCAGACTCACAGCAAGCACATTTTATGTGACAGACTGAGCTAGCCGATGGCAGATAGATAGATTACTGACCGATTCTGTGAGCAACTCAATCTGCCTGCCTTCTTTGCCTGATTGGTAAAAATTGCTCTTTTTTAAAAATAAAAAATTCAATATTTACATACATGGTGTGTTGTGCGTTAATTTTGTGAGTTTTCATACTAGCAAATTTTATGAGTTTTATGAGTTTGCTTGCAAGCAAACAGACTGAGCTAGCCGATGGCAGATGGATAGATTTCTGAATGAATCTGTGATTCTGTGAGCAACTCAATCTGCCTGCCTGCTTTGCCTGATTTTGGGTAAAAGTTGCTCTTTTTTTATTAAAAAAAATCAATATTTATATAAATATTTATAATATTTACATATAAGCCATGTCCAGCCAGGCAGATGACCACCAAGCCACACTCACAAATTAGGCCACACCCAATTTGTGGTCCCTGGGATTTAAAATTATGAGTTTGGTCATCCCCGAGGTCCAAAAGGTTGGCGACCCCTGCTTTAGAGGGAATGTCTTTTTCTTTTGATTTTTTAGGAAAATGCCAGGAAACAGTAGTACTTTTTTTTCTTGTACAACCATCGTCTCAAAAACACCAGTACTTTAATCTCTCAGTAGCCAATGCTGCAACTGAAGTATAGGTGTTATGCTGCTAGACTTAGTTAGCTAGATTTTGGACCCATAAGGTTTTCCAAGCTGTCTTTAAAAGCAACCTAACATAGGTGTGTAGTTGTGTAACTACATGATGATGGATGTGTAGGTTGTTATCAAAAGGGCTTCTTAGTCCAAATGCATATTCAGATGCAAAACTTCTCCAATTCATACAATATAGATTAAAATACACATTCTTCTCTATGTTGTAGTGATGATCAAAACACACAATTATACCCTGTGCCTCTTAATAGTTCTAGAGTAATATCCACTGTTGCCACTATCTGTCTTGAGTTGCTTATACAGTAATAGCTGTTCTTTGCTATTCTGCCTTCTAAGGATTTTGTTTTTGTAAATAGCTCAAGATGGTAAGCACTTTCAATTAATCAAGTACATACTTTGTTGTTTTCACAATTTGTTTCTATGCAGTTAACTGTTTGGATCGACATGTGCAACGTACACCAGACAAGGTAGCTTTGATTTGGGAAAAAGATGAGCCTGGTACTGAAGAAAAAATAACTTACAGGTATGACATATTCCTCCTCCTTGGTTTCAAAATTATCTGTGCAGAATTTGGAAAAGTCATACAGTATTGCTTGCTTTTGTATGAAATCTGTGATAACACTATTCTCAGAAAAGGCATCTTGTCACAGAAGAGAAAATATTTACTTCATCAGAATAGTTTTGGATGATTAAAAATAAAAGAACTCACTGGATGTACCAAAGGCCTTTCTGGATTCATAGTGGCAAACTAAAAATTCTGGAAAGCCCACAAGTATGATGTCTCTGTGACAACATCCCTCAGCAACTAGAATTGAGAACTAGACATGAATTGGTTTGAAAATGAGCTCACATCCATTAATATGGGAAGACCTCAGATTATGATAGCAATTGAGACCAAAATTACCATCTATAAACAATGGGGTTGTAAAGTGCAATATAATGTGACTTCATTGCATTAGTCCCAGTTCTTGTTGTAATATTTTAGTAAATAGATTTGGTAGTCAGTTTCAGTTTGCTTATCTTGCAGTATTTTACTAAACCTTTTTTAGAGAATCACAATTGTTATGACAGGTCACTGTGAGAATCACAAAGTCTTTTTAACAAGGTAGTGATTCTGATTGTAATTAAATTGCTTTTACTGTATGGCATTCAAGGTGAGAATTATATTTATATTGCACAGTTATTTGAACATTAACAACAAAGCGGGTTTGGTATGTGTAAGAATAGCATTCTACCTTCAATTTATATGGACTCCCATCTCACCTAAGCAACTTTGGGTGGCAAAATTTTATTTTATTTTTTTTATTTTTTTTTTATTTGTCAATTGCTTACAAGATAATAGGTATAAGTAAAAACATAGTTATGAATACATGGATACATATAAGAAAAATAAAAAATATATAAAAGAAACAATAGGACAGGGCTGGTAGGCACGTTGGTGCGCTTATGCATGCCCCCTACAAAGTGAGAAAGAAAAATAAGAATATGCAGCAAAAATACATCAACAAGATGGTTTTATTTCTTTTTCATCCATTGCTAATATTTTGCCTCTTTCACAAGCATCTGATGAAATGGTAAGTTTGTATTCGGCTTCTACTACTTCAGGTTGTTAACAGGCACTGTGTGTGTGTTTGTGTGTGTATACATATATACATACTGTACACATATAGACATATGTACTGAGTATGTTTGTACTGCATACTGATGTATCATTAATTTAACTGTGGTTACTAAAATATCATAATTTTGTGACTTTACACATAGGTCTAAACCATAAGATTACTATTTTGGCTGTATTCACATAAGATATTGACCGACAGTTAATGTCAAGTCTTTCTTGAATTGAATCCTTAAGTATTCACATAATTTTCTTCACAATAGTGCATATTTTGCTATTGCTTTCTTCTGAGATTTTTATTTTATTTTCCAAACCTGGGATGCACAATGCCACCTACTTAGCTGAACTAAAATAAGTTAACCAAATTATAGTTTACTGAGTTTCAAGAAGCCAAATGTTATGAATTTACTGGAAGCTAAAGCATGGAACCTTCATTTCTTTCTGTTTATTTGTATGTTCTGATCTGTGTTTCTTTTTTAATAACATTCTTAGTTGAGAATCACATTCTTCTGGTTATCACATTACACATTACACTAAGCTGTGATTTGCTTAACTAGGCTTATAAAATAAACTACAGTGGGATGGGTTCATTCAACATGCTAAGTCAAGTGTTGCTACATATGTAAACCAGAACAAAATAAACCACATTATAGTTTAGCATGTTGAGTGAATTCCATCTATTCTATACAGAGCTCTCTCCTCATTTTGATGTTTCATTTGATTGCTACCAGATTATTCTGAATTGATTGACCAAAACTGAAGATTATATAGCCATCTAAGCCTGTTCAAACTGGTTTACTTTGAATGTATTGGAGTGCAATTCAAATTTCCAACTCTTATGTTGGTTGGTAATTCTGAGAGTTATGAATCGAATTCTGCTGGAGACACAAGGTTGCGAAAAAGTTATTTATGTTGTTTAGCTGGTATACACAGTTCACCAACAGCATGAAGATTGTTTTTTATATTATAGCACCGTACCTTACTTGGTTAGACTTGCAGTAACAAATTGATGTGGATGTACAATTGTCTTGGCTTTGTGTATAGAAGTATTTTCCATGTAAGGATAATATAATTTGTGAAGGCACCCTCATGAATGATCTTGTCCATTCATCCATGCAGGAATTAACATGGTTGCTGCTGAAAGGCACAATTTGGATTCTGAAGTTTAATACAATATATATATTTTAACCTAAAAGCAGCGTTGATGGATTAGTGACCACTACAATTAAAGTGAATCTTTTGAAATAGTTGTTCTGACCAAAGCTTCCCAAGACCGTAATTAAGCACAGGCTTAGTTGAAACAACTCTTGTTTTATTTCAACGCTGGAAATTATTTTCATTCCCAGCTGGTAATGAGTCCCAAACCGTCCCTTCGAGATTAGCACCCGTTTTCTTTCCTTTGAATTGCTGCCAACAACTAGAGTGCCAAATGAATTATAAAAAAACCAGCTGAAGTACAAAGTCCACACAGAGCTTCAAGGATTAATCCAAAAGAACGAACGACTTTGCTTCCCACGAAGGTTTCTTCACCTTTGCCTGTCCTTTATCCCTTATGGGAGGGGCAATCACCTCCAAGCCTTATTCCCAAGTTGCCCCTTTTATCTCAGCTGTTGTTGCCTTTTAGCAGTTCTGCGCACATGCACACTGGGAACAGGCTCCCCTTGTTCCTCGGCCTCGCTGCTGCTAGACTCCGGAGGCTCCGGAATCAGCATCCCACTCCCAGATGGTCCTGGCCCCATCTCTGCATAGAACGCAGGACCCTCGTCCGAATCCTCTCCAGACTCCCGGACTGGTCCCTGTCTTCCCCACTGCCCAATTCTGCTGCCATCTGCACAGGCTGCCAGTGAACCATAACAGTAGCCTCCAGAAAAGGCTAGAAACTGGTATGATCAACAAAGGTTCACAAAGAATCAAATACTATTGATCAAACCAGTATCTGTTCTTTTATTTCTGTAATCAAACAGCTACTGAAAAATTATTTCCTTAAAAATAAGAATCAGCTTTCTTTATCTTAAATAATGTTCTCAATTTACTGCCTGACTTTGCACAACAGGATAGACTAAAATATTGTTGTCTGGTTTAGGGTTCAGTGTGTATGAACCTATGAAATTTAATTGATCTAGTTATCCATTGATTAGCATTTAAGCCCATATACATTATGTGCAATTTTAATTAAAAAGGATTAGCATTCTAACAACATTCTTGTTATACTGAACTTAAGTACATTGCATGTGAATATAATACATTATTTGAAAAGAATATTTGATTTGCAGAGTAAAATGTACTCTTGTGAAGTGTGACATTCATATTATAAAATTGGCAGGCGAATAAATACTGTGTGAAGGTTAACACTATTCTGTTTAGGAACTATCAGCATAAGAGGGCTGTTAACATTTTTAGAGTATTAATATTCCTCTCTCCTCTTGGAGGGTAAATGGAAAAAGTTATGCAATGTAGACATGAGGAGAGATAAAACAATATTTTTTTTAAATTAGTAGGCCTCTGGCTGCTCACAAATTGGCTCCTCTATTCAGTCCCAAGGATTTCTAGATAACAGCAAGCGAGTGGGTTGCATTCCATCTTTAGCCTAACTGCATGTGCCTTGAACTGAAAGCCACAGGCATTTTTACAATAAAGTAATGCAAAATGTTACCTTTGGATGTAATTTTAATTTGTGTGCACATAATGGACACTACAACACACTTTTCTTATCTGTGCATTATTGGATTAGGGAAGGGCAGCTTGCCTTCTTCATAAATATAAGTATAGAAATTGTGTACAATAAATAAAATAACAAATTCTCCCCCCTTGGTATTGGAAACAGCAATATGAACATATTATCATGAATAACAATGGCGTTTGTAATGAGAATATTTTACAATAAAGATGAAGAATTTATTTACAAACTACAAATTTTGTATACAAAGTAGTTTATCTTGTTTTCATATTATTTAGCTCACTCTCGGAAGATCAGTTGAACTATCAAGCAATATAAAGTATATTATCTAATGAAAGCAAGATAGTTCAGTCTGTCTCACATCTTAGTCTGGGAGAGATGACTAAGACCTACATTCCATCTATGGAAATCCTCATGGAAGCAGGAATTGCTGGTATTTCCTAATCAATATAAATCTGCTCAAAGAAATAGTATTTAGAAGGAAAAATATATAATGTCTCCTGCATTTGCCAGGCCATCCCTGGAATCCTTTCTAGACTGTCTTTCTTTCCCTGCAGCTGAGTCTCTTCTGATCTCAAAGCACAGTAGCATGACCAGGCATGGCCACAGCACAATTGCAGATGAAAATCCATGGACATTACAAGAGTTAAACACCTTCTCTCTATCTCTTCCCCCGGAAATGCCTTCTGATATCCACATTAGTATTGTGAGACAAACACAGGTCAGAATTCTGAAATATAATTCTGGCCTCACACAAATTATTTATGAAAATGACCTTTTACTATGTAGAAGCCTGCAGACTTTAAACATACTCCTGAATAATGTTGATATATTGAGAGTTGCAATAAAAATGGAGTGAGGTTTCCAGGTAATAATGTAATTTTGCCATAAAGGTACTATATAGTACTTGGCAAATAATATGCTTTTCTTTCATTCTTTTGGTAATCCATTTGAACTGTAAATAGTTAAAGAGAACAAGAAAAGGAAGAGAAAGTATTTTTCTTAAAATGATAGTATTCTTGATTTGGCATTAGGCTATTATTACTGTCACAAAAATAATTTAAATAGACAAACAACAGATCTTGAGACTTAGCAAGGAAACAAGCTTCCTATAAAGTATTCTTTAAAGTAGTTTTAATGCTAGGAATGCTGAAGAATACCAGATATTTCTCATGATATCAGTAATTTTAAAAATTCAACTATTTTTAACTCCTCAAATTTAGTTATCTAAATGATTATTATATCTAAGAGTTATTTTTGTAATATCTCTGCATTTTAAATTGTTTCTAAAATTGTTGCTGTTGTGACAGTGCCTGTTTAATTTATGATTATCTTGGTAAAGAGCAGAAATTAAGTCTACAAAAGCTAAACTTAAGTGCATTAGATTTAAATGTAAAATTGCTTGATAAATATTATGATTTTTTTGTAGATTGAAATACCATATTTATAAAGTAAACCAAAATGACATGGCATTTCTACATTGCAGGGAACTTTTGGACATGACTTGTCGCCTTGCTAATACCTTAAAGAGAAATGGCATAAAAAAGGGAGACCGAGTTGCTATCTATATGTCTGTATCTCCAATGGCAGTGGCTGCCATGTTGGCTTGTGCCAGAATTGGTGCTGTTCATACAGTTGTGTTTGCTGGATTCAGTGCAGAATCTTTAGCAGGGAGAATAAATGATGGTGAGTAAGTTTTAGGGAAAAAAAAACTTTTCAGATAATAATTAATGGATTTGTTATTGCAGGGGAAATGCAACATTTTCATTAGATAAGCAACATATCAACAATATAGCATTTATTGGACTCTAGTTATGAAAGTAGAATGGCATGTAAAAGCTTATGAAGACTCCTTGCTTACAATAAATTCTCAGAGTCCATTTAGCAGAAAAACAATCCTGAGCATTTCATTACTATATAGGATTTGTTGCCTTACAATATATTATGTGCTATTGGTTTTTATTTATTAGATTATGTTGTAAAACTGAGGAATAGATTAAAAATTGCTGTCTCTACAAATTATTTTCTTGCTAGCTAAATGTAAAGCAGTGATCACTTGTAACCAGGGAATCAGAGGAGGACGGATCCTAGAGCTGAAAAGCACCGTGGATGAAGCTGTAAAGAACTGTTCAAGTGTCAAGTGCGTCTTTGTAGCCCAGAGAACTGACAACAAAATCCATACATGCAGTCATGATATTCTCCTTGAAGAAGTATGTTGTTCATGGTGTTCATAATACTCCTTCTAATCAGATGTTTTACATTGCATGATACTGTATAATGCATGCTACATTGAAGCCTAGCTTAGGAAAAATTAAAGGCTAAAGTAAAAAGTTAGCATTAGATTATCCAGAGAGAGAACAAACTCCTCCCCACCCCTTTGTTTTTGAAATAAAAGAAACTGTTTCATGCAGCAATACTCAATTTTCTCCTGGATGATATTTGTTTATGTTGCCCAGCCAGTTTTAAACCTATTAGTAGTCACTATGACTTACAAAGCATGGGGGAGGCTCTCTGTATGTGTGTGTGTATGTATCCTATCTTTAAAATAAGATATTTCATACTTAGTCTTCTCACTTGCCAGTCAGGCTTTCAAGTTATTACTGGTTTTTTTCCCCTTTCCATTCAATTATCTCTGATTCTTGGAGACTGCCTGAAAAGGTCCCTGCAGTTTTCTTGGCAAGGTTTTTCAGAAATGGTTTGCCATTGCCTCCTTTCTAGTGCTGAGAAAAAATGCTGGCCCAAGATCACCCAGCTGGCTTTGTGCCTAAGGCAGGGCTAGAATTTAGACTCCTGGTTTCTAACCTCATACTTTAATCTCTACACTAAAGTGATTCTTTAGTCTACTCCAATAAAGTATTGTTTCAGTAAAAATTGTGCAGCCTGATTCCTGAATTGACTACCTCAAGGGGTTGACATCAATCTTGCAAGCCTTTCTGTGTTTTCCATTTCTTTTTCTTTTAACCTAGTAAATTTGAGCGGAGCTGATCTGAGCTTTCTAATGGCTTAAGGTATGCTTTGGCTTTTGTAATAATTTCTACATATTTTTCCAAGGTCTATGGCTTTCTACAGACAGAGAATTAAGGTTCCTTCCTTGTCTACTGCTCTACCTGGTTTTGTTCAAGTGATTGCTAACCTGAAGTCACTTCCTTCTGTTTTTCTTCCCAGACAGCATCACACAAAAGAGGTCAATTATTTTGACTTTCTCCTGATGGAGTGTAGCTAGCTATGTACAGGGTTTTGCTTACCTCTGTTGTGTGTTTTCATTAACTAAATCTTATTTTTGTTTTAGTCATAAATAATACAACTTTAGGAAAGTAAATATAGATTAAATTCCTATTCACAGGAATGCAGATAGAAATCTTCCACCAACAACAGTTGCAAGTTTATTTTCCAAAAATTCTCCATGAAGAAATAATAACCAGAAATTTAAAATACTATAAAAAAGCAGAGAACGCAGTTGAAAGCATTCTGCAGCAAAATGGTATTTGTTGCCTGAAATTATAATTAGATATTGTCAGCAAAATTGAAAATATGTCTTTTTGTGTGTACTTCCATCAGAAATGGAAGAGGACATGGATTATATCTATAAAAGCCATTCATAGCCATGATTCCAGGAGAAGCATTGAATTCAGTATTCCTAAACATCTAATTTATACCATTCAAGGCATGGAACCTGAATTTTAAACTTGTGTTTTCAAATAATAATAATAATAATAGCCTTTGGTGCTTTAAATGCCAAAACTGCATTGCACACTTGTTATTTCTTTGTGAAATGTGAAAAAAAATGAAGAAAGAAAAACATACCTCTGTTATGTATTTCAGAATATTTAATATACTGTTGCTCCACTTTTGTTAATTTAAACATGCTTTTTTTAGGAGATGGCTAAGGAATCATTGGTTTGTCCCTCTGAAATTATGGAGAGTGAGGATATGCTTTTTATGCTTTACACTTCAGGAAGCACAGGAAAACCCAAAGGAATTGTTCATACCCAGGCTGGCTATCTGCTTTATGCTGCGGTAACACATAAGGTATCAGTAGAATCCTTAGAGTTTTATTGTTTTACTTTAGTACTGTTAATAGTGTGAAAATCATGTTGACAATGAATTTCGGTATAGTTGGACATTTTCAACATGATGTGAGGAGAAAAAAATATTTTTCAACTACTGTATTATGACTTATGCAGTATATCACTCCACAGTGCTTTACAGTCGTCTTTAAGCAGTTTACAGAATCAGAATATGGCCCCAACAATCTGGGACCTCATTTTACCGACCTTGGAAGGATAGAATAGCTGAGTCAAGGATAGAAGGCTGAGTCAACTTTGAGTAAGATTTGAACTGCCAAATTGCAGGCAACCGGCAGTCAGCAGAAGTAGCTTGCAGTACTGCATTCTAATCACTGCGCCACCACAACTCTGATGCAGAATATACAAAGGTGTTCACAAAGATCTATGAGCAATTTCTTTAAAAAGCTGCATTTCTGGAAATGATATATTTTCTTTAATCACATGGTCTAAGTCACTTTTCCTCCTTTGAATTTGGATTGCTGCAGAGCCCTAAAAATTATATATATGCAGATCTGATCCAAAACAGTCTACTCAAGCAGAGTTTTAATTTTGGAATGCTATGTTTTAAAAAATAGGGCTATTTGGCCTATTTCAAGGCAAATGTACCAGTTAACAAGGTTGGTTAATTATACCCTCAGTATGTCTCATAATAGATTTTTTTAAAAATATATACTTTACTATTCAAAGAAAGAAAGAATGATACATAAATTGTGGGAAGACTGTTACTTGAAATTGTTCTCATCTTATGAAATGGCAGGTAGAAAAATCTCTGTTTATTCTGTAATTAATGCTGCAATAAATTTTCTCACACAAGGTTTAAATTCTGAAACCATAATTGAAAGCCCCTTAAAATGTTATTTGCATGAATTTGTGATTGACGTATTTCTTCACACAAGGATGATCGTGAGGATTAACTACTGACAAGTATTTATTGATTGTAATAATTTTTCATTAGTATACACTGATTCTAACCAACTATATTGTCTTTATAGCATGTTTTTGACTTCAAACAAGATGACATTTTTGGTTGTGTAGCAGATATTGGTTGGATCACAGGACACAGCTATGTTGTCTACGGACCACTTTGCAACGGAAGCACCACAGTTTTGTTCGAAAGTACTCCTGTTTATCCAGATCCAGGTAGAAAATTTAAATATAATATATAAAAACAGCAGTAGACATAAGGAAGGGCAATTAGTTATGATACAATCATTTCTTTATTGTGATGCTAAAGGTTAACCACATCTCTATATAGGGCCAGTTTGGTCTAGTGCAGTGGTTCCCAAACTTTTTCAGTCCACTGCCCCCTTGGTGCTACAAACTCATCCTCGGTGCCCCCTACCCAGGGGTGGGATTCAAATTTCTGTGGGTGTGGCCTAATTTGAGGGTGTTGTTTGCTGGTCATGTGACTGGGTGGGCATGGCCAGGTGACTGGCAAACCAAATACAAGTGGTCCTCACTTAATGACTGGTTGTTTAGCAAGTGTTCTAATTTATGACTGGCCTCCCCAGAGCTACTTGACCAGTTTTTGGAGTTTTGACAGCTTTAGATCAGAGGTCTAAATCCCACCCCTGCCTGTGGGTGTGAGAGAGAGGGAGAGAGAGAGGTTGGATCAGATCTCTCTCTCTCTCTCTCTCCCACCAATGCCAGAAAGCCACCATCAGTCAAAATTCATATTAGTGGTCTCCAGGATTTAAAATTAGGAGTTTGGTGGTCCCTGAGGTCCAAAAGTTTGGCGACCCCTGATCCAAAGGGATGAGCCTGAGAGAGGGAAAGAGAGAGAGAAAAGAAAGAGAGGAAGAAAATAAAGAGAAAAGGGAAAGAAAAAAAAAGGGACAAAGAAAGAGGGGGGGATGGAAGGAAGGGACAGAAAGAAAAAGAAATAAAGAAGGAGGAAGGGAGGGAGGAGAAAGATAATGAGATATCTATTCTAGTCCAATCACCTGCTCCAGCAGGGTTAGAAGGGAATGTGTGTGTTTGTATGTGTTCTCCTTGTAATTTACCAGTACATTTTGGTTTTGCCTTCTTCAGAATTGGCACTGTAATACATTGGGAAAAAGTAATTTTTAGGGTGGAGATCTGGTCCAATGGATCCTGTTTAAAGGCTCAACAAAATGTGAGAGCTTCCTGATAGTCTTGACCATGTTTTGTCCACAAAACCTTTAATAGAAGCCAAAGAAGTTTCAATGTGCTGGCAAAGATGTTTCAATGTGGAAAAGGGCCTCAGTCTAAACTAGGCCTCATTCAATCTGATGCATCAGGTCTCTCTCTTTCTCTCCCTCCCTCCTTGCCACCCTCCCTCTCAGACTGGCTTTGCTCTTTCCCGATGTGCCTGTGGGGCTGGCGCTTCGAACATGGATGGATGGATGGATGGATGGATGGAGAGACAGACAGACAGACAGGCAGGCAGGCAGGCAGGCAGGAAGGCAGGCAGGCAAATAGACAGAACTTTTGGATGGATGGATGGATGGATGGATGGATGGACGGATGGACAGACGGACAGAATGCGACAGCGGCGGCATTTTGGGAAAGCGGTGGCAGCGGCTTTTCCCAACGTGCTGCCGCATTCGAGGCACTGGTTCTGGAGCATTACTACAGTCAATGGGTGAACCTGCAGGGCCGGCGCCTCGAACGCCCCCCCGCCGCCTCTTAGCGTCCCCAAGGGGGCCGGAAGAGGGGGGCTAAGAGGCGGCAGGGGGGCATTTGAGGTGCCAGCTGGCCCTGCAATTTCACCCATTGACTAGCACTGCTCCAGAGCCAGCACCTCCAATGCGGAAGTGGTGGCACGTTACATGCCACCACGGCCGCCTTCGACGTGCCGCCCCCCCCCGCCGCCCCCTAGCCCCCCTCCGCCTGGCCCCCTTGGGGAGGCTAGGAGGCGGCAGGGGGGCGTTCGAGGCGCTGGCCCTGCAGGTTCACCCATTGACTAGCACCGCTCCGGAGCCGGCGCCTCCAAAGCGGAAGCGGTGGCACGTTACATGCCGCCACAGCCACCTTCGATGCGCTGCCCCCTTGCCACCTCTTATCGCCCTTCTGCTGGCCTCCTTGGGGATGCTAAGAGGCGGCAGGGGCATTCGAGATGCTGGCCCTGCAGGTTCACCCATTGACTGTAGCACTGCTCCAGAGCTGGCGCCTCAATGGGTGAACCTGCAGGGCCAGCTGGTGCCTCGAACGCCCCCCTGCCGCCTCTTAGAGCCCCTCTGCCAGCCCCCTTGGGGACACTAAGAGGTGGCAGGGGGACGGTGCATTGAACACTGCCATGGCGGCACATAATGTGCCACCACTTCCGCATTGGAGGCGCCAGCTCCAGAGCGGTGCTACAGTCAATGGGTGAACCTGCAGGAACGGTGCCTCGAATACCCCCCTGCTGCCTCTTAGCGTCTCCAAGGGGGACAGCAGAGGAGTGCTAAGAGGCGGCAGGGGGGCGGCGCATCGAACGCGGCCGTGGTGGCACGTAACATGCCACCGCTTCCGCATTGGAGGCGCCGGCTCTGGAGCAGTGCTAGTCAATGGGTGAACCTGCAGGGCCAGCGCCTCGAACGCTCCCCTGCCACCTCTTAGCGCCCCCCTGCCAGCCCCCTTGCCTCTTAGTGCCCCCCTAAGGCATCCCACCCCCCCAGGGGGCGGTACCGCCCACTTTGGGAACCACTGGTCTAGTGGTTAACACATCAGACTAAAATTCAGGACACTATGAATTCTAGTCTCACTTTAGGCATGAAAGCCAGTTGGGTGATTTTGGGACAGTCACTCTTTCTCAGCCAACTCACAAAGTTGTTGTGGAGAAAATAACAGGAAGGTGTATTAGGTATCTTGAGTTATTTATATTATAAAAATAATAAAGGTGGGATTTAAAAGTGTAAAAAAAAAAATCCTGCTTGCAACCTTAGATTATTGGGAACAAAACTGCATATGTATGTATTGATTACTTTCTTGACCAGGTTTAGGTTATTTTATCTGACTGTTGGTTCGGTAGTAGCTGTTCCTCATTTCAAAGCCATTCCCTCTACCCTCTACATTAGAGTTCCTTAAACCTCTTAGGCAGGTCAAGGGAAAGAGACTGCTGGCTAGCTGGGGAATTACAAAAAATTGCATCCCTCCCTAATTTGCTAATAGAAGACTTTGCTGTGTCAAATAATACAGGTTGTCCTCGACTTACAACCATTCTTTCAGTGACTGTTCTAAGTGTTCAGCAGTGCTAAAAGAAAAGATTTCCAACAGATGCCTAAAGTTACGGCTGTTGCAATGTCCCTGTGGTTACCTGGCAGAGGTGAAGCAGGGATGCTTCAACTGCTGCACCTACCTGTCTCCCCTCCCCTCCCCCAAATCTATGCCCTTTCGGCTCCCTGCCTTCTGCTGTCCTAGCTGCTAACCTTTGCCATCTTCTTGCTGTTGCTGTTGCTGCTGCCTGGCCTGGCTGCTGGCTACGCTGTGCTTCTGCTGCAGAAGAAAAAAAAACAAAAAACAAAACAAAAGGAGCCTCAGAGCTGTGATGCCAAAATAAATCACTTTCCTCTGCACACACACACACACACAAAAGGATAAACAGCTCCAGATCTGCAGTGCACAAAAAAGTCCCTTGTGGGTTTTCTCTCCCCCCCCCCCCAGCCTTTTTCTCAGCACAAAGGGATTTTTGATGTCGTGGATATGGGCTGCTTTTGGCCATCTTTATTTAGTAATGTGAAGAGGGTTTTGCTACTACTCTGACTACTTTTTGTTTTCTTTTCTTTTGTTTTTGCCTTCTCTGATGTTTTCAACTGCGTTAGATGGCGGTACCATTTTTGGCTTCCCAAAGCTTTCCTTTCACTATGCAGCAGTGGACCAGTTATTTTTCATGACTAAAGATGGAAAGTATGGATGGTCAAAGATAGGGCCAGGATACAGCAAATTGTTATGGATAATGCAGCAAGTAGAAAACAGCACAAAATGTTTTCAATTGAAGCTGTAATGGAAAGATAACATGCAAGGCCCAAAGAATACATTTTAGTCTTAAGAGTTGGATTGTATATAACCAACTAAACACCTTATTGCTACACTTTTTAAAAATATAAATAAAGTGCGAAAAGTTCTTATATGGGTCTGATTAAAGAGCTGTGTCATCCTTGTATAAATTAGTAGATGAATTATTCAGGCCCAAAGTCGGAATTATACAGAATGTTTTAAGATACATTGATTTGCTTTAGCAACTCAAAAAATACACGTTAATCCACTAAGATAAACAAATTATAAAAATACTTACAGCCAAAGTTCAATTTGAATTTTAATTAGATTTTTTGGGGGAATTCACAAATTAAAATTCACTCTGACTTTGAGATCTGAGCTTAGTTTGAATGAGTTTTTTATTCAATAGCTTTTTAAAGCTATTTTGATGAATAAAAATTAAGCTTTCGCATTTCTTCCCACTGTTTTCATCTAAGATGTCTCTTCAACCTCCTTCTCTCAGGATCTGCCACCCAAGTATTTTAAGTTTAAGCTTCTTTAGTTTCTGAGCCCAGAAAAAAAATCAGCCACATGCTGCCACCTCCTGATACTTCAAAAAATAATGTGAAACACCCATACATACACAGTATTTTTTCAACTGTATTTAATTGTGATAGTTTTATTTTTCTTCACTACTTGACTCTGAAGGTTTAAAATAAGGAGCAGTTATGTATTTCAAAATGTGTATGTGTCCAAGATATTCATTCTCATTTAATATGAAATATTCTGAGCTTATAAGACTTTGGGAACTTACTTCTTAAAATATATGGTCATTTTAAGGTCGCTATTGGGAAACGGTGGAGAGATTAAAAATTAACCAATTTTACTGTGCTCCAACTGCATTACGTTTGTTGCTGAAGTATGGTGAGGAATATGTGAAGAAATATGATAGATCTTCTCTTACTACTCTTGGATCAGGTGAGAATGGACAAGCTAAATTTTATGTCTATTTAAAATCAAAGAGTTTGCTAGTTTTCTATGGAAGGAGAACTGAGCTTTTTTCTTTTTCTTTTCAGTAATTCTTGGAAAGACCATTGAGGTCACTGTGTTATTTCTTTATGTTATATTTTTAATGAAAATAATAGAGTTGAATAGTGTCAGCTAGTCAGCCTTCATATCCAGTGTGGTGTCCTAGAGATGGAGCTCTCGTCTCACAATCAGTAAGCTATGAGTTTGATCTTATGAGTTTTTTTCTTACAAGATAGGTCATGCCCAGTTTTTAATCAGTCTTCAAGTTAAGTTGCTTTATTACCAGTTATAAAATATCTTTAATACTGTACATATCATAATTATTTATTTTGCTGTTTTGAATTGCAGTGGGGGAACCAATAAATCATGAAGCTTGGCACTGGTACTACAGTGTGGTAGGAGAGAAAAAGTGTACCCTTGTGGATACATGGTGGCAAACAGGTAAATCTATGTAGCAAACGGAAAATCACTTTAAGCTTGATTATAAAAAATATTTTTGTAACAGTTGTCAAAATCTGCAGTGTCTTACCTGATTCAGCTGTTTCAGTTACTAACTTTCACAGTTTTAATTCTAACTTAACTTCTGTGGACTTTATCCCATATTTAAGAGGTTCCTAAGGGTGTGTGTTTGAAAGCGCACTAATGTATCTATCGTCCCTGCATGTTAGTTTTTTCATTTTGTTTGAATTTGTAATTTTTGTTTGATAAATAAAGAAAAGTAACAGTATAACCTGTTTTCAGACAGTAAGGTTGCTAAAGATTTTGCACATTGATAATTTGTGGCATTTTTTCTAAAATAAAATAATTACATGTGTATCTTCTTAACAAGTTCTGAATTGCATTCAGTTATACTCATGCAAATGTATATGTACTGTGCATTTATTTCATTTTGGTTTGAGATCTTCAGTAAAGGAATTATATAAAATATGTTTTTTTAAAAACACAAAAACTTTACAAATAGGAATTTCTCAGCCTTGGGTTCTAGATAAGTTTATAACACTGCAAAAAGAAATGCAATGTGTAACTCAAAATAGTTAAAATATGATGCTAAATTTAGCTGTAACATAAAAATAGGCCAGGAAACATTGCCCTATCTGATCTTGTTTCCAGTAACTGTACTATCTGTAATAAGATTTAGTTTCTGAAAAATCCTATGTTCATTTTTTTCTGATGATTTCTGTATTTGAACATCCTTTCTGAGTATATTTATATATAATTTGCTTTTTCTCCTTAAAATCTCACCTCAAGAGCTACTACTGTATTTCTTTAAGCCTTACTATTCAGAAGTAATTTCCTTTTCTTTCTCCCAACTTCCCCTTTTTTGCTTTATGTCATTCTTGACTTTTCCCCTCCATTCCTTATTGAGCCACAGACTGTCTCTTTTCTGCTTTTGATTAGTGTGTTTGTATGGTATAAATTATTCTATGCAGCAAAAGGTATGCCAAAGAATCAAAATTATTGGACAGTTTTGTGGTTATTACTTTTAACTGGTTTCAGCTCTGCTTATTTTCATTTCTTTCCTTCTCTTTTCCCCTCCTTGAGCCAACAAAATTTCTTTAAAAATTACACCATCTTCATATAAGTAAACATTTACTTACAGTTCAAACAATAGGAGAAAAACAGTCTGTGCGTCACATACTATAAAAGAAAATGAAGGAATAGTAACAGGGTTAACAGAGTAAAGTTAATAGAATTTTCCAAAACCTTGAATTCCCCAAGGGACCACCTAACTTGCACATATTAATATGGTATTAGCTGTTACAATTAACCCTTCCCTGTATATGTACAGTTGTTTAGCCCATTATGAATAAGATATAAAATGATTATAAAATGTGATGTCACATAACCGCACTAACTTAAAATGGCAGTTGCAACAATCCAAGTTATGATTGTTAAGTGAAGCTCATATGGTCACAGCTTCTTATGTAATCACAATTTGTGATCTCCTGCCAGCTTCCTGAACTTTGACTTTGCTTGTTGGAAGCTGGCAGTGAAGGTTGCAAGTTGTAATCATGTGACTGTAAGTTGCTGCAAAGCTGTAATTGTGATGTGGTTGCTGAGCACTTGAATTCTGATCACATGGCCACAAGGATGCTACTGCATCAGCTGCAACTATGAGTGATATCCCTCTTGTTCGCTGTCATTGTAACTTCAAATGGTTGCTGAACAAGTGGATGTTCAACTTGGACTTCTTGTAATATTACAAGGCTGCTTTTCCAGAAATAATAATGTTATTTTCTGGGAAGACTTCAATTCAAGTTCCCCATATAACATCATAATGTTGGTTATCCTAACTAAATCAGTTAATATAATGTTTTCTCAAAAGCGGATCACTTGATACAAAAACAAAGGCAACTACTTGTGAGATTTATTGTTTTCTGGGGATATGAATAACAATAACAATAATTCTTCAGAGAATTTGCAAAGTATATTGATTTATTCCCTAGTGTTAGGCCAGTTGATCTTATATAGATCTTATATTTGGTTTTAAAATAGCATAATTATTGCAGCTTATCTTTCTTAAACGTAGCTCTTGGAAGCAGTGATATGCCACAAATAATCAACTCAGATATGCATAAAGATTAGCAGATCAGGCTTTGCAAATATATTTGAAAGCATTTGAGTGGATAAGAGAAAGAGAGATTATGGGAGAGGTGGAGGAAATTCACTATGCAGATTCTTGTGTATAAATATATTTTAAAAGTGTGATCAGGCTTAGTGCAATAGCATTCTCAAATCCAGTATCCCTATAAAGCTTGATCACATTTTAGAAATCAAGACTGGTGACCTTCTGTATGAAAAGCTTCATGATAGACCTCTGAATTGTGGTCTGTTAGGACCACAGGCATAGAACGTTGGATTTGTGTGCCTGTGGGGTTGCTTTATTATACAAAGTTAAAGTCTTAATGCTTTATACTTTTAGTCTTAATCCTAATTTTGTGTTTGCATTTATTTCCTACTTATTCTTTATTACCTATATTAATCTAGGATGTAACTATAAATTTGAACTACTTATATCTCATAAGTGGATAGTCTCATAAACTGCTTTTAAGCAAACAGTTTGAAGATCAAAACAACACAAGGAAATATATTCCATGATTTCCCTGCATTTCTTTCATTTGCTGCTGAAATTACTTGCTGAGTGCATCTAATTGTGTTGAACATAATCAGCTTAGGGCTTTGTGAGGGTAAAATAAGGAGTTCTGGGTATTTTTTTTTTAATGGAAAATGAAGCTCCCTCAGTCAAAAAATGTTGCTTACATTCATTTAATTCCAGAAAACAGAGATTGCTTTCATTTTTAGTGGTGCTTCTTCTTCATTTATCATTCCAGAAACGGGTGGCATTTGCATTGCTCCTCGGCCTTCAGAAGAAGGAGCTGAGATCATTCCAGCTATAGCAATGCGGCCTTTCTATGGAATTACCCCAGTGCTAATGGATGAGAATGTAAGCTAAAATACTGAAAAATTCTGGATTTTGAAAATACATTTAATTGAAATTAAGGGGAGAGGAGAATGATCTTAATTGTTCCTTAAGTGCTAAACATTTTAAAGGATATTTTTTAAAAAAAATAATAACATTCAAAAATGTCATTATTAGACTGTTGATAGTTGTATAGGCTAAAGCCCAGAACAGCTTTGAAAAAATTATGAAGAGTTAGACCATCTAATCATACCTTCTTTTGGTAAGGAGGGTCTTATAAGAATCAATAGGTAACTTTTAGAGATTAGCTTGAAGGACCTGCATTATTCTGAATAAAGTCTGAGGCAGGAAAAAGTCAGAAAAGGAAAAAGCTGGAATTTTTGCCATATGGATAAAAACATCAAGAAATAAATAGGTACACATTTCAAGAGAACCATTATGGAATATGTGTCCTGCTGTCTACTAAAACTAAACTGGTTTTCTAAAATCAAGCCATGGTAGAAAAATCACTGACTTCTGTGCAATCAGAATGTATATTTGTCTCAAAATGTTCCCTAAAATTTAAAAATGTAAATGTTAACCTGTGAGTAATGTAACTGTTAGGGATAATGGATAACATAGCATTATTAGGTCCTACTTAATTGTTAGACTTGCTCTTTATTGATTTATATAGTTAACATTTTACTTCTTAATGCTAGCATAATTAATCACAAACACGAGCCAGCCTTATATCAGAACAGCTGGGATGCTAGTGGAAATCACCATGACATGGCATGATATAAAATAATTTTTTAAGAGGTGAGTGGTAAGGAAAGAGGTCCATCAGAAAGGAAGCTTTGTGCTTGTCAGTGCTAAATGCCCATCCTTTCCCTTCTATCCACCACAAAAATATTTTTTATTCATACGAGGAGTCCTTGTTTAGCGACCACAATCGGGACTGGCAACTCGGTTGTTAAGTGAAATGATTTCTAATTGAAACCTTGACTGTGCTTACTTCAACTTTCTTACTTCTATCTTATTTCACCTTTCCTTTGCTTTACAGATCTGCAAAGATCATAAATGCAAGGATTGGTCATGTTACTTTATTATCACTGGTGTGACTGCAAATAATTGCTAAAACAATGCAGTCACTCAACAAGGACTACCTGTGCTTGCAGGCATATTGAGTTCATTGTCTTTATCAAAGTGTTAATGGAAAGAATAAATATGAAATTAAATTCAACTTCTGGGAGAATTCTCTTTTATTGATGGATTGAGAGAACTTTTGTTTTTTACTTGATTTCCTAGGGAAAAGTTTTAGAAGGCAATGATACCTCGGGTGCTCTCTGCATTGCACAACCCTGGCCTGGTATAGCACGGACTATCTATGAAGACCATCAGCGTTTTGTAGAAGCTTATTTCAAAGCTTACCCAGGTGAGAATGATGACAATGTTGGTTGAAGTAATGCACTGAAGTTGACACTTTACATGAAGTGCAGTTTCAGTGACAATAGCTATATTGTTATGTTATATTTTCTTTGCATCATTTAAAAATAGTGCAGCAGCAGTCTGTACACCAGAGAAGTATTCATGCACACTTCTACATGCATAACAGATGTTGATTGACATGAACATTCTGAAACATCTTTGCTAATTTTCTTACTTTATCATTCATATGGGCCTGAATGCTAAAGTATAAAATGAATTGAATTCTAAAATAGTTGCAGTAGATTAATAACACAGGTGTGTTATTAAGTCACATGAGGTCATGATATGTTTTTGCACTGCACTGCTTAGTGATGGAAATTCCAATCTCAGTTACTGTTGTTAAGCGAAGACTAATGGCAATGAGTCTCCATGGAAGTTGACAGACATCCTGGGTTCTCAACATTGTTCCCAATGGACTGATCCATCATTGCCCACAGATTTCTGCCTCAATTATATTTTACGTTTAAAAAATACTTCAATTTAAGAAAAACAGAAAGCCAGCATTCTGCAGAATAAAATCTGGCATACAATACTGTCTTTTATTTTCAAGAATCTTAAAGTGATAACACTGAGCAAAGACTCAAAGACTCAGCAGAATCAATGTATGCAAAGCACCTGAATTCTACTTGCAGAATTCCCTGATTCATTACACACATTTTCATATAATGCATATCTTATTAAATGTTTGTTTCACACTCTGACAAATTAATAGAGGTGTATTATAAATGCAGTTTGGTATGTTCTCCTGTTATAATTGCATATTGACGAGTGGTGATATGCAACATACATACATTACTTTCCCACAGAGATAACGAACTATATCGAGTGTATTTTTCTCTTCACAAAAAGTGAACATCCACATTTACTGATGCTAAACCTGTTATTGCCACAGGATATTATTTCACAGGAGATGCTGCTTATAGAACTAAGGAAGGTTATTATCAGCTAACAGGGAGAATGGATGATGTCCTAAACATCAGTGGACACAGACTTGGAACTGCAGAAATTGAAGATGCGATGGTAATTATTGGGTCAAATAAAAGTGTGGGCTCCAATAATTTATTCTTGTAAACTAATTGAAACATAGATATTTAGAACAATGAGAAGATTTGAATGGCTGGCTCCCATAGTTAATTTAGCTTTGATTGTAGCATTTACCGACCTTTTGCATATTTAAACCATTATGGATTAGTCACCACAAATGGGTTCTTTCATCTGATATTAACTCAAATACAGTATAGGCAGTGGAAACGGTTCATCAACTTAGTCAGGTTTCTTTAGATTAAGAAGATGAAAGCCTAGTTTTCAAAACAAATTGTATGGGAGGCCTGTATCTACCAAAACTATGGCAGACTGAATGGCAGGACATGTTTCTACAGGAGTTTCTGATATATGAATGTCACTTATAGTGACATCATAGGTCTATGATCACAGATTTATCACCTTATTTGTGAGCTTGTATTACATGCATATATGATTCCATGCATGTATATGAATTTGGCTCAGTTCAGACACTTTTCAAAAACTTTGATGTTATGCCAGGAACAATGCTTAGTTTTGTTTACTATTTTTTAAATTTTAATTGATTTCAAAAGATAGGATAAAATACAAATACAAAAGAAGAACAAAGAATAACAAAAATTACAAACAAGACAGGAAAAATAGTAACAACACTGGGTAAAAAAGAATATACATATAGTAAGTGTTATACACTAAACATACACCATCCATCCTAACTGAATGTTGATTAATATAACTGAAACAAGTCTAATAGATTTCCCCTCTTGCTCGAGGGATATACAATGGTTATAAATTTTCCCATTTAAACTTACTAAATTACTATTTTAAATCAAGTCTCTTTACAAATATCCCAAATGTAAAATTCTGTTGTCTATCAATCAAATTGACCCAGTCTCTGTTCACTGTAAAAAAAAAAGCTATTAACTAGTAACCCAAAAGTTACACTAATGTCCAAAACCCTGTATTAACAGTCCCTTGTTTATTTAACACACAGAAACTCCACAAATGGTCTCCAATCTTTTATAAACTTGTCCAAACCATCGTCTCTAATTACCAGAGTTAATTTTGCCATCTTTGCCAGTGCGGTCAATTTCAGGAGCCATTCTTCATATCTCAGGATTTAGCATATATTTATTTGACAATCTTTGCAGCAGTCACTACATACAAAAAAATGTCCCAAATTGTTTTTCTGTCAGTTTATCCATAATACCTAGAAGAAAGTTTTCAGGTTTCATTAATATTTGCATGTTAAATATTTTTTTGCATAACCATTACTGTATTTATCAGTTTACTATTGCTTTCCAAATCATCTTTTTCAAAAGGATGAACATCCTGAAATTCCAGAAACAGCTGTGATTAGCTATCCCCATGATATCAAAGGGGAAGGTAAGTGACTAAAATGTTTTCAAATAAGTAGGAAAACGTTTAACTGTATATTTAATAATTGCTTTGTTGATGTCAGGACTTTTACTGATACAATTGAAGTGGAGAAGATAAACAGGGATGTTTGGCGGAAACTGATACTTGAATAATAGTTTTTTTCAAAGCATATACACAGCAGTATTATAATGTATTTACACGCATGGAAACTATTGCAAAGGAATGTAATTTAAGTTTAAAATTTTGAAACAGCTACTCTGATCAAAATAATTGTAGTACTATAGTAGCATTACTTTCTTTTTATTTTTTTCTTTATTTTTTCCCCACGTCAATCCTTTTTATAATATAAAATACAAAAATAGAAAAGCAAATAGGAAAAAATAGGGGAGGGAAAAGGGAAGAGAAAAGAATAGAGAAGGAGGGGAAAAGACAGAAAAGACACTGACTTCCAACTCCCTTTGAATAAGAAGTAACATTGAACCCATAGTAGCGTTACTTTTCAAACACTGTGAAAAGGTTGTTGGACCTAAAAGCTCTCAGATCATATCTATCTATAGGACTATTCTTGGTGCAATATGAAAAATATTTATCCTCTAGTACAGTATAATGATAAAGTTATCTCTAGCTACAGTATATACATTAAAAGACATTAACCAGTATCAATATATAGTAAATGTGAGTTTAGAAAGCTAATGAAGAGCCAGTTTGGTGTAATGGTTTACATGTTGACTTAGAAACCACGAGACTGAATTCTAGTCCTGCCTTAGGCATGAAAGCCAATGGCTTTACAAATTATTTTATAAAGAAATAAAAATGGAGTAAAAATATTAAATAATAAATGTAATCCTTTTTTCCAGTTGCATTAGCATTCATAGTTTTAAAAGATGACATGGCAGATAAAGATATGATTATCAAAGAGGTGAAGACAATAGTTGCCACCAAGATAGCAAAATACGCTGTTCCTGAACATATTATGGTAAGTATTTAATTATTGTATATGTTTTTATAAGGACATATATTGGAAAATAATCTCTCATTGTTTATGGGATATGGCCAAGGAATTTCAGCTAGCGGGGTCCAGGAGAAGAACCTTTTCTGCTGTGGAAGTGAGATTTGCCTCCTTCTGGAAAACCAGAAGGGTCTTAAAACCTGACTCGGCCAGTTGCTTGGCGCCCCAGTAGAGGTCTGCTATCCTGGAGGTGGGTTGGTTGAGTGAAACAAAAGCCCACCCCCATACCTTCCATGGTATTTAATAGTTTATTTAATAGTTAATTTTATTGTTTTAATGTGCTTATAGTTATGCTTTCATGCCATTGTAAGCCACCAAAATCACTTTGGATAGGGAGATGGCTGGCAAATAAATGTAATAAAATATTTAATATTAAAACAATGATTGTTTTATATAAACATTGCCAGTTCAGATAGATTTTTTCCCCCTAAATTTTAGAAAGCCATGGTTTTCTTGTAATGAAAATCTGCTATTATCAATGTTGAGTAGGGGTAATAGATAGCCTCCTCTCTCTTCTGGGTATATTTAAATATGAGGCATGGAAATACTGATGAAGTACCTTTATGTATATTATTAAAGTAATAGCAACTATACACAAGAGAGAGGGAGATGACTTGAGGGATAGCATAGAAATCTGTAGTTGTAGATGATTTTATAGCTTGGGAGAGGGCTGTGCTGAGAGAGTTACTGCAGAATCTCTACTCCAGTGCAGATTTTAGTTAATATGTGATCTTTATTCCAGACTGCAGAGAAAAGCATTTAAATGTCCTTCCTTTGAACATTTTTGAAATGGAAAACTATGTTTTCCCAGTGTATTTGAAGCATGACAGTGTCTTAAACTATAAAACAATTTTAAAAAGTGTACCACATATAAGGATACTATGAAGAAATTATGGCTTCTATTGCACAGATGCCTTACTATCAGGGATCTAGGTTGAGGATGGGGACTGCGAAAATGGTGGTGTTAATCATGAGGTTGCAATTGCCATCGTGATGTTTTTGATACCTTTCCCCCCCCCCCCCCATGGATGTCCACTTCAGTTGTTTTGCAATTCTGTAACAGTAATGACCTTTCCTTAGCTTGGAAAACAGTTTGACTTCTAGAATTCTTGTGGGGTTTTTTCTTTTCTTTGCTTAAATTACATGAAGCTTCTCATCTCTTCCCATCTCTGAATCATTTCTGTTGTGAAGGATGTATTGTAGATGCTTGCACATAGCCAACATCTTATCTTAGGGCAGGGGTATCAAGCTTGATTTAATTGACAGCTGCATCAGACTTGGCCAGGGTGGGCGTGGCCAGCTCAATGTCACTTGTGTCGGGGATGCCTGTGGTGGCCTGAGGACTCTGCCAGCGAAAACGTGTTCTCGAGCTCTGCTTTTGGCTGTGACGGCCTCCTGCAACCCTCTGCCAGCAAAAACAGAGCTCGGGAGGGCTGCAAAGGCACCGCGGGCTGGTCCTTCACTGTTTCCAGGTCAGCCCTGCGGGCCAGTTCTAAACACCCCATAGGCCGGAATTGGCCCGTGGACCTTGAGTTTGACACCCCTGCCTTAGGGCATTGTACCTCACTAACTTGGAGGATTATCAAGAGAAAGACCGGGAAAAGGTAGTAACTAGTACCAGTACTAACTAGTACTAACTAGTAGTAACTAGTATTTCATTTTGTAATAACTATGCTAAAACAATGGCCTATATCCCTAGCTTGGACCCAGGAGACTATGACTGAGACCAGCAGCTTTCTCTACTTAGTCCTTAAGAATGCTGAGGTCTGAGAATAAAAATGAGAAAACAAGAGAGCCATAACTGGTGTTTAAAATGCCAAACTTGATCTCAACGCCAGCAGTGTTCAACTAGGCTATAGACTTCTGGTATTTAGGAAGAAATCTGCCCATGGTAATGCTGATTCAATAGAATCCCTGCTACAAAAACACCCTCTTATTTGCTTTGCCTCTTGATTTGATACTTTTATTTCAATAAACTTAATTTTGTGTTAGGACTTTATGATTGGCTTTATAGATTTGTGACAGTAACAAAAAAAAGTAGAAAACCTTGAATTACGCCATCTTCGGTCTGATCTAAGTATGGTATATAAAATCATACATTGCAATGACTTACCTGTCAATGAATACCTCAGCTTCAACCATAACAACACAAGAGCACACAATAGATACAAACTCAAGGTTAACCGCACCAACTTGATTGCAGGAAATATGACTTCAGCAACAGAGTGGTCAATGTCTGGAATACTCTACCTGACTCTGTGGTTTCTTCCCCAAACCCCCAAAACTTTAACCTTAGACTGTCTACTATTGACCTCACCCCTTTCCTAAGAGGTCTGTAGGGGGCGTGCATAAGCGCACCAACGTGCCTGCCGTCCCTGTCCTATTGTTTCTTTTATTTTTCTTATATGTACCCATTTCATGTATTCATAACTATGTATATACTTATACCTATTATCTTGTAAGCGATTGACAAATCAAATAAATAAAAATAAAAAAATAAAATAAAAATAAAATAAACAGTGTAACTTGTTTAGTGGGCGGCCCTATTTGAAGCTTTGGTAGCCTTCTTTACTTACTTTTAATAGAGATTCTTCAGTTGGTCATCTGTAAATTCACTCATCCATCCTGCCTTCACCTAAGTCTGTTAATGAGTATTCCTTTTTATCAAGGCTAATGTGAAGATCTTAGGATGGCTGAACAGAGGAATGAGCCATTGGGGTAGGGGCTGTTTACCTTGATAACTTTGAAAGGTTCCACAATATTCTGCGTAGACACATTTATTCATATAAGTAAATGCACAGAAGAAAAACTCAAGGAAGTAGTTATTTATTTATAGTAAGTAGTATCTTTATTTATAGTAATGCTACTTATAATGACTTTTTATTTCTCAAACAGGTAGTGAAACGTCTTCCCAAAACTCGATCGGGAAAAATCATGAGACGATTGCTACAGAGAATAGTGACTGATAATAGTGATATGGGAGATATTACCACACTTGATGATCCCAGTGTCATAGAGGAAATACTTGAAACGTGTAAGAAATACAAACTTAAGCATCCTACTCTATGACGGACTATTGTAAAGATGAGTTATGTTAAAAAGCTGAAGGAACAAAAGAAACTATTAGATTTATTCCTGATTAAAGAGCTATACTTATTCATGTAAAATTATTCATGTAAAATTTTTTTCCTGAAAAGAATGTGTATTGTAACAGTTTACCTCTTGAGTTTATACTTTTTCTTTGAAAGCACGGAAAAATAATTTTCAAACTGCTGTTTAAGACATGTTCTTCCTTTGTTAAACAGAGTGTAGAAACTTAAGGAGTAACTTTGCATTTAGCCTTAATATTTTTGCCACCAATATATAAAACTGTCTTTTAATATCAGTCTTGCTATACTCTTTTCCTAATTTCATCAGATAAACTGAAACTCTCCATACTTTTAAGTTATTTTTATATAATATTTTATATAATATATAATATATTATATATACTTTTAAAAATCACAATGACTTTTTTTATACTATACAAATTTCAATTTACATAACTGAAAGCCAAATTAAACTCAAAACTGTATCAATACTTATACTTATGAATAACGTGGGAGGTTATCTGTTTTACTGGAGTTGGACAAATTGAATTGTTATAATGTTGCATTGACATATAATTTTGAACAGGCATACATTATTCTTTATTAAACGTGTATATTTTTAGATTTTTTTATCTTTTTTTCATATATTACTCAACAAAAACAAAAACAACCTTGTGAGTTGGGCTGAGAGTGAGTGGCCCAAAGTCAGCCAGCTGTTTTTTCATGCCTAAGGCAGGGTGCACAGTCTCCTACTTTCTAGGGCAGCACTTAACCACTACACCTAGATATTGCTGATATGAATGAGCCTGAGCATGTACACCCAATAATGACAAAACAACTTCTGAATTCAGTACAAAACATCTGACTTAGGGCTGCAAATTCAGATACCAAACCAACTCTATTACCTACTTTCATATTGAATTATGTGATGGAATTGAAGAAAAAGGAAGATCTAGTAGAAGAAAGATACTCAGTTACTATTGGATTGGTTTCTGAAAAACTGAGATTGGACAGTTTATTTTGATACTGGTGAGTGAGCATTGCAACAATACATTTGTTCTGATTTGCAAACCAGTAAATTAGAACAATTGTTTGCCATGATTGTTGGTTAAATGATAGGATACCAGATAATTAGACCACAACTTATCGTCACTAGTGAACTTTCTAATTGTTGGGAAGGGCAAAGGGATATGTTCCTATTCCATATACAAAAAGCATTTGGATTAGCAGTCCAGTTCATTTCAAAACTAATAAGCTTATTTTATTTATTTAAATAATGTATATAGCCAGCCATTTCACAGAGTGTAACAGAGGGTTAGCAATAAAACAATATTTGCAAAAATAACACAGGCTGGTTTCTATTTTGAAGTCATAAGACAAGAATTAAACTACCAAAGGCTAGACTAGAAACTAGGAGACTGAACTCTAGTCCCGTTTTAGGCATGAAGTCAGTTGGCCGAACTGACTCTTTTAGCCCTAGGACGCAGGCAAGAGCAATCCAGCTCTGACTCAAAAGGCACAAACGCAGTGATAATATTACATGTGCATATGTCTCTTACTGGATCTTATGGCAAATGATTGATCCTTGATAAGAATCAACTTTTTACATTGTAAATGATGGAAATTGACATTTTTTCATCTTACCCAGTATTAGTAGCTTCGGCTTCATCTTTAGTGTTTAGAAGTGCAATAATGTTGCATCTATTAGGCTCATTTAATTTATGTGTCTCCAATGGTCTTTTCAATACAATGTCCTAGCTATTTCCTTGTTGGAAGAAATATCCTTCTGGGTTCAGTTCCAAGTGGGGAAGAAAAGACACTGGAAACATGGAGGCTGTTTGGAAAGATGATTTAATGGTGGACAGGAACACATGCCTTGGAGCTCCAAAGTGAAAAGGACAATCACAAGTTTCAAGATGTTGGGTGAAGGAAAAGAAGGGGCAAGATGCTGAGAGACCCTTAGTTTTATACCCTCTGTTGGGTCCCACCTTAGTGTTTCCTGTTCCTGTGTAAAAAATGTATCCCATTGACTATCAGACTCCCAGGGGCGGGGATCTTAGCTAACTTTGTAGGCTTTGTCTGGATCACATGGTTTCACCTGCGTGCTGGCTGATGCAATCTTCCCAGGCCATTTGGTGAGATGGGTAGAGGGCTTTGTTATGTAGAATACTCTGGCCCAGACATTAAGGGCCCACCCATTAACAAAGGTGGGGGTGAGCTTCTGCTTCTGAGGTGAGTTTCTGCGTCTGAGTTTCTACTTCTCTTTTTAGGGGAAATATTCTGCCTTTTTAGTATATCCTAAAATATTTCATTTTCCTAAGAGAGGGGTGGGTTCTAACTTCCCTTCTATGCCGTTCAAAATCTTACAAATCACAGCAAGATTACCCTATTACTTTACATTCCATCTCACTTCAAACTCGCCAATAAAATACGTATTGTCTTTCCTATAGATAGTTGCTCTCTTTCAAATTCACGCTAATCTCTGTTCCTCCTGAAACACTCCTTCAAGTTCCCCTCCCCACAAGATTCTCTCCAAATGCAGTCAGCCTTTCGAAACAAGCATTTCCTACGTTCTTTTCGCGTGGAAACTAAGTGGATGTTCTACTGACCCCGCTTCCTCGCTCCATGCGGGCAATGAAGCGGGGCGCGGGCTTAGGCTGATTCGTTGAACTTAAGCCGTTAGGATGGAGGCAGGTGTCTGAAGGGGGCAATAAAGTATATCTAAGAGGAAAACACCGGGGAGGTTTATGTACAGGCAGCAGGGAGTCATCGCCAAAAGAGCGATGGGGCATGGCTCTATGGAGGGTTATCATGGGGGATGGATAAGGCAGAAGTTGGGGCCGCCTCTGAAGCAGGCCCAGACCTGCGCAGCACCCCGTGAACAGCCTCGGAGGCCAGCGAGGAGCTGCCACTCGGGGACAAGATGGTGGTTGGGCGTTTCTGAAGGCAGGGGCGGGTGTCTGGCGCCACAGTTATTGGGCAAGTTCAGCCGAGGGGGGTGGAGTGTCATGGCGGCCTTGGGACGCAAGGGGTGAGGGCGTGGCTTCTGTGTGGCAACCGTTGAAGCAGGCTGGAGCAAGAGGCGGGGCTTCGCGGTGTGGGCCGGGAAGCGGGGCTGCTCCTCGGCTTTCACCAGCGAGCCTGGGCTGCGGAGTTGAACCGCTGCTCTTGATCTCTGTATCTCGGTGGGCCGTTCATTGCAACATGAATGAGGCTGATGGCCTGCGGCAGCGTCGGCCCGCCCGGCCGCAAGTGCTTACCGAGGACAACGCGGCACAGGCAGGCAAGGAGAGCAGGTGCGGTCTTTGCTTTTCTCCTGGCCCCTCGGCGTTCCCTCTTCCCCGGGGAGGATAGGAGGCACCGCTGCTTTCGGAAAGGGCGAAGATTTAGAGGGCGGCGTCCTCTCTTCCCCCTGCCCTGCTCACCGACAGTAATACGGGAGGTGGGCGCCGGCTTCCTGAATCGGTGGGAGGGCCAGGCTGGAGCGGCGCCAGCGCTGCTGCTTCTTCAGTCCCTCACGTGGAAAGCTCGGTGCTGCCGGACGGAGCTGGAGGAAGGTGGGGGGGGTGGATAGAGAGAAGGAAGATGAGCGCCAGATACTCAGGGATTTAGGCCTCTTGGTGTTTAGGAATAACAAATATTCCACGGCCTTTGCTGCTAAGTATGCCCTGGGGATAAAAAAAAAACGCATGCTGAAGTCAAGGACAGAAATACCAACAAAAATAATAAGTGGTCTCTGAAGATCCACGGTAAATAACGGTGGTAGCTCCTAGAAATGGCTTTTGACGTGACTGGGCTCGATTGAAATCGGTGGGAATTAACAACTCGGAGGTCCAGAAGGGAAGGTTTGGTTTTTGTTTTTTTTAATGAGGAGTGGAATGGGTCATGGAATGAAAATAATCTCGTTCTCTCTGACTTTGCAAAATATAGTAAATGCCCACTGTTTATTATTATTCTTGGCAGTTGTTTTAAAACGACCTCTACATATTTTTTTTTTAATGTAGGGAGGGTAATATGTGAGATGTCATTTTTTTATAGCAGCAATTTTATATATTCACATTACAGGTACAGCTGATGAAAAGGATTGTCCTTCTGATAGGTGGCAGAATTAAGCAATTTTAATTTATAACCAATGTGTTCATAATTTGTTTTGTAATCCCCCCCCTTTCGCTTCCCTTTCCTCTAGAACAGAGGTGTCAAACTCCTGTCATCACAGTATCAGGACTTTCCCCCTCCCCGCCTTGTTAAACTGGGCAGGACCAGCACGTGATGCATCCGGCCCATGAGTTTGACATCCCTGCTCTAGAAAGTGTAAAGGCTGATGCTGTGCAAAGAAAAATTTCTATGATGGAGGCAATAAAACCACAGCAATTAAAAAAAACTTACAAAAGCCATAATTTTCCTTCTAAAATGTACAGTAATTCACTGTGAATGAATAGATACTTAAAAACTCTCATTTACTAAGAAATTCTATATTCATTTATTTATATCCCACCTTCCCCACAACTACCACCCGGTGAGGTGCACTAAAGGAGAGTGAGTGACTGGCCCGAGGCCATCCATGGCTAAAGCAGGTCTCTTGCTTTCTAGCTTGTTGCCTTAACCACTAGACCAGTGGTTCCCAACCTTTTTTTGGCCATGCCCCACCTAAGCATCTCTAAAATCATGATTCCCCCCCACATATAAATCTTACTATTTAAAAAGTGAACTCCTACTCACGTGGAGGAAGCCTAAAAGGCCATTAACTTGATTTAAACAAGATTCCAAAGAATAAAATAATTTTTATGAAAGCTTTTTCTGCAGTACTTTGATCATATTAATTACTATACATATTAAAATAAAGATACCTAACAAATTCAAAATACAATTTGAGCTCACCTCATATTTACAATGCAATCCTATGCATGTCTACTCAGAAGTAAGTGCCATTGTCTTCAATGGAGCTTACTCCCGGGAAAATGTAAGATTGCAGCTTTAAGTTAGTGAGGGTGCTTGATGCCTGCTGCAGAGAGAGTTTATATTAGGCCCCAATTTAGTCAGCTTCATTCATTCTCAAGTCTCCTTGTGCAGTGATATCCAGTCGATTTCTTCAGTAGCAAATCATTTACAGCACTAAATCATTCAGCTAAATATGAAGATGGAAATGGTAACAGCAGTTTTCTTGCAAAGTAGGTTGAATTTGGGTATTTAGTTTCTTACTTAAACTTGCATCCTGGTTTTTTATCCTTCCCCTAGCAGCCATCCACTCTGTCTCCCCACAGAACAGTTGTCTCTGCAATCACCCAGCAGCAAAGCCCACAGGAAAGAGAGAGACAGAGAGACTGCCGGTTCCATGATCCTAAGTGGGAACACATCTGATTGGCTGGCAGTTGCTCCCTCCTTCCCCCAGTTGGGATATCCTTTTCAGACTAGGCCCTAGGAAATGCACTTTAACAAAGACAACAATAGGTAAATAAAACACAGCTGTTTCATCACAAATATATAAAAACAATTAGTGGGCTTTCAAAAATTCAGTTAATAGCTCATTTTCTAATTGCCCCCATTAAAAATCAAATTGCCCCCCTGTGGGGCCCACATTGGGAACCACTGCACTAGACCAAACTGGCTCTCTTTTTAAGGTTTTGGAGTTAGAGGTGGGTTGAGCAATCATATCTAATAAACTCTTCTGAAAAGGAAATACTATAGAAAGAACAATTAACCAGGTAGAGTGAAAAGTTTAGGAAGCTTAATATGCAGATATCTGGAACTACTTTGCAACAGCATTGATCAAAAGTTGATTTTTTTAAAAAAGCATTTGGAGATTTATATCTAAAACATGAGTAAATATAACTAACTTCCTCCTGCAGAACTATGAATATTGTCTGAAGCTAGCAAATGTTTTCTTTGGAGAAGTATACAACTTGAATGTTAACATTTAATACTTCTATGCAATATTAAAAAATAACCTTTGGAAAAGGTGCAAACTCATCAAGATGCAGGACACAACTACACTATTAAAAACCTCTGGGTATTTCAGTGTTTAAAATTGCAGTATTAGATATTTGCAGGTTTCTATGTTTTCAAGAAAATAATGTGATATCCTATGTATTTTAGTGCATAAATAAGTGCTACAGTAAAGTTAAAGTTAAATTACTTTTAGTTAATTCCTTTGTCAGTCTAGAGGATATATTACAACAGATAGCTTCTTAATATATAATTGCAGCTGGTTTAATTTGCATTGCAGCTGAATATATATATACATATTTGAGGAAATGTGTGGCTTTTCTACTTAAAATAATATATGGAAGAAGTTATATATATATTTCAGGAGCCACTTTGTTGTAGTGGTGAAGGTGCTGGACTAGAAAGTGGGAGGTTGTAAATCCTAATCCTGTTTTACACACAGATGCTGGTTGGGTAACCTATCATTCACTTGCAGCCCAATGCATGTTTCAAGATTTACTATGAGAAAGTAATAGTAGGGAATATTCTCTTTTTCTAAGAGTAAACATGTTCTTGCAAAATTGTTGATCTTGTGTTTTGCATTGTCATTGCCTTTTGGTGATCTGCAAGAAATAGCTTACTAATTACTACCTTTTTATGTTGTAAACTTGAGAGAGGAGAAGTGAATTAGGGAAGCATTCTCCAGGTTGTTGCTATATACAGGTAATCCTCAACTTACAACCATTCATTTAATGAACGTTCAAAGTTACCATGGCACTGAAAAAAGGTGACATGACCAGTTCTCCCACAGTCATATGATCAAAATTTGGGTGCTTGGCAGTTGGCAAGTATTTACATATCAGGGTCCTGGGATTATCACTTGCAACATTCCTAGGGAGCTTCTGATAAGTAAAGGCAATGGGAGAAGCTACATTCACTACATGGCCACATGATTCACTTAACTGTAGTGATTTGTTTTACAATCACGACAAAACTAATAAAATGGGATATGTCTCATTTAATAACTGCCTTGCTTAGCAACAGAAATTTTGGGTTGAATTGTGGTTGTAACTTGAGGACTACCTGTATGAGTTTCCCATAATCCTCAAAAAGCATAATCATTATGAGTGTTACATTAAAAAAAAACCCTTTTCTCTATTATTCTTGGGTACTAATGCAGGCACCACACGATAATGTTGTATGCCAATCTTGCATTATTTATGTGGAAATAAGTGATTATTTCCAATTCAGGGTTTATAGAACTTCAGCCATATTTTTTGTGAATGAAATTTTATATTTGGCTTGTTTTAATGAAGACAATTTTCACTTCATTCTATTTGTGGATTCCATATTGTGAAAGCAATAATTTACATGTCATATCTAATGGATTCAATATACTGTATTATATCTATTTTGATCAAGCCACAAAACTTGAGAAAAGCTAAAAGCAATTTTGTTCAAAGCTTGAGTTGTTTGCTTTTCTTAGCTTTTATTCAAAGCCCAGTAGTTCGGTCAAAGCTATGTTTCATAGCCAACCCAGAACCATATATAGACATGCTTCTCTAAGAGCTGAAATTCTCATATTTTTTCTGTAATATTTAGCTAATACTAAAGCTGTTGTATCATATAACTTTTTTCATCTTTTACATTAAAAAAAATGAAAATTTGGTGCCTGGTCCAGGTGTATACCTCTATTTAAAAACCCTGAACTTTCTATAACTGGAAGTGTTTGTGAAACAAGACATCCTATTAATTTGGAAAAATGGTAACAGGATTTGTAAATCTATTTTTTTTATTTATTTATTTTGATTTGTCAAATCGCTTACATGATAATAGGTATAAGTATATACATAGTTATGAATACATGAAATGGGTACATATAAGAAAAATAAAAAACAATAGGACAGGGATGGTAGGCACGTTGGTGCGCTTATGCACGCCCCCTACAGACCTCTTAGGAAAGGGGTGAGGTCAATAGTAGACAGTCCAAGGTTAAAGTTTTTGGGGTTTGGGGAAGAAACCACAGAGTCAGGTAGAGTATTCCAGACATTGACCACTCTGTTGCTAAAGTCATATTTCCTGCAATCAAGTTTGGTGCAGTTAACCTTGAGTTTGTATCTATTGTGTGCTCTTGTGTTGTTATGGTTGAAGCTGAAGTATTCATTGACAGGTAAGTCATTGCAATGTATGATTTTATATACCATACTTAGAACAGACTGAAGATGGCGTAATTCAATGTTTTCTAGGTCTAGAATTTCAAGTCTGGTAGCATAAGGTATTCTACAACGAGTAGAGAAGTGGAGAACTCTTCTTGTGAAATATTTCTGGACTTTCTCAACTGTGCTAATATCAGACACGTAATGTGGGTTCCCGACTGATGAGCTGTATTCGAGTATTGGTCTGGCAAATGTTTTGTATGCTCTAGTTAGTAGTGTGATATTACCAGAGAAAAAGCTACGTAGGATTAGGTTAACAACTCTTAATGCCTTTTTGGTTATGTAGTTACAGTGGGCTCTAGCACTTAGATCATTAGAGGTTATTCCAAGGTCCTTTACAGAGCTTGGATCATCAACAAGGTCTTGACTATTCAGCTTGTATTTTATTTTCTGATTTTTTTTGCCAATATGTAAGGCAGAGCATTTAATTGTTGAGATTTGAAGTTGCCATTTGTTTGACCATTCTGATACATAGTCAAGATCTTTTTGAAGGGTAGCAGTACTGTCTGTGGTATTGAACAGCTTTACGTCATCAGCGAAGAGAACGCAGTTGCTCTTAATATGATCACAGAGGTCATTTATGTTGAGTATGAAGAGAGTTGGTCCTAGAACATGGATGCCTCTGAGGATTGCAAGAAATTTTCACACATTTGTACCTGAAAATGGCAGCTATCAGTTTTCAGCAGTCTTGATAGAGCAGTGATGGCTAACCTTTTTGGGCTCCTGTGCCGATAATTGCGTGCGCACTTGTGCACGCGTGCCAGCACCCAGAAGGCAATGCGCACAGCCCCTCCACGCCCCTGCACATGCATGCGCAACCCCCATGCATGCCACGTGTCTCTGCACATGTGCAAGCAACCCCCACCTGACCTCGCGTCTCTGCGCATGCACACACGTCTCTCGCATGCCCCTGCACATGTGTGACAGATACAATCAGCTGTTGGGCGGGCGACACGCGCAGGCACAGTAGACCTGCTCTAGGTGAGGGCTCACATACCAACAGTAATGGCTCTGCGTGCCACTTCGACACGTGTGCCATAGGTTTGACATCACGATGATAGAGTGATCTTCAACAGCTGCAAAAAGAGGCTGGTGTGGTTCTGAGACCTCAGATTCTCCACCTTGTATTCTACACATATTTCAACAATACTGTTTAATTGTACTTCAAATCATTACAGTTTTACTATCTGTTAAGCAGAGTAGACCTGCATTTTTGTCTATAAGCTACAAAAACTAGCACCCAGTGTATCCTTTTAGTACCTCCATGCCTTAGAACTGAAGTTATATATTGGATAAATTTGTTTTGCTTGAGCAAAGACAACATACTACTGGAGTATGAGTGAAGGAGGGAAGTTTTGTGACCACACAGTATCTAGATCAGCTTTGCTGGCTGGGGAATTCTGGGAGTTGAAGTCCTCCAGGCTTAACGTTACCAAGGTTGGACACCCCTGATCTAGAGCATGGGTGTCAAACTCATGGCATTGTTGCCGTCACGTGACATTTTGCAATGTAATTTTCCCTTCGTGGAGCTGGGGTGGGCATGGCCTGTGCATGATGCATCCGGCCCATGGACCGCCAGTTTGACAACCCCGATTTAGAGGCACAGAAAATAACATATCAAGTAGGATTTGGATATTTTGTTTACTTCTTTTTTTCCTTTTAACTAACCATGCCTGGTATTTAAAAAAAAATCTTTCTTGAAATTACTGAAGGAACGTTTAGTTTAGAAGAGTGAGATTTAAACTGATTTCATCCACAGAATGTCTGTTTCTCCCACTTAAGCTCTTGTTCAGTGTGTCTAATGAGGTTTGAAGTCTAACCACAAATCATATAATTTATAAAGCAACCTTTCCCAACCTCTCCAAATTGATTACATTTCATCTCCTATATTCCCTCCTAGCATATTTTGAGATAATTCTTGTGGTCATCTGGAAAAGTAAACATACACAGCTGCAAATTCTATTGCATGTTTGCCTAGTAGAAATTTACTTCCCGACAAGGTAATCTTGTTCAGAAATTGGTAAAGAAATTTACTGAAATATATGTGATAGTGTTAAGAAAAAGATAGGGAGCTTTAACTATTAATGGCTACTTTTCTTGATGGCTGATCCCTGGTTTTGGAATTACATATAGCATAATTTAAATATTTTATTGATGAGCAACACTATCTATTATCCATCTTTTTGAGAATCCAGAGTGGATCTTGTTAGCTACTGGAAGACACAAACTACAATACTGGAATAGTTACTGGCCTAATATAGTGAACTCCTACATTGTTAGCTGCTCTTGTATAATCATGTTCTAATTTATGGTTTTGTTTACTTTTACAGTACTTACAGCAGCAGGATATTTCGTGTAACTTTCATGACTTTAGCTGTGTTATTAATTATTCCATTATTTGGAGCACTCATTTTTCTGGATTGTCCAATAGACCCTCAACCTATTAGGTGAGTATATAAGCATGTTTAATATTAGAATTTTGCATGTGACTTAAACTTTCATTGAGGACATTATTATGAGGGCTTTTTAGTTATCAGGGCTTTTTAGCTTTATGAATGGAATAGTGCTGTAGTCAACTGTGTAGAAAAACTGTTGTGCCATTACTTACAGTTGTACAGAAATGAAAAACAACAGTTATCTTCCAAATAACTGTGAACTTATGTGCCTTATATACTACTTTTACTTGCTCCTTCTGGATCCCGAAACATTTTATTTAATAGGTACAATATGTTTAATTAAACATATATAATATTTAATGTCATTTTTCGTAACCATGTTCTTTCAAGTCTTTGTCTTAATACGTGCTATGTGCAGATGAATTTTCTTGGTTATAATATTTTACTACTTCTGTATTAAAATTAGTATGTGGTAACTGTACCTGCAGAAAGAATGGAAGGCTCATTTGTAAAAAAATGAACAGTTAATTACAAAGTAAATATGTGAAGAAAGAATGGATTGGTCCAGAGAAATAGGAAGACTAAGAAAGTTTAATTGTGTCCAAATAAATTTTCTTAGTCTTCCTATTTTTCTAGACGAAGAGAAAAAGAGCTGAAAAAAGGAGAAATGAAAAACCTAAAGAACAAAAGGCAATATATGAAGCACTATACAGATAGTCCTCAACTTACGACCACAATTGAGGCCAAAAATTCTGTTGCTAAGTGAGCCCCATTTTATGAGTTTTCTTGCCATGGTAGTTAAGTGAGTCACTGCAGTTGTTAGTAACAAGCTTGACTTTGCTTGTCAGAAGGTTGCAAAAGGTGATTATATGACTCCAGGACACTGCAACCGTCATAAATATGAGTCAGTTGCCAAGCATCTGAATTTTGATCACTTGACAATGGGAATGCTGCGATGATCATGTGTAAAATTGTGATAAGTCACTTTTGTATTGCTGTTATAACTTCAAACAGTCACTAATGACCTATTATAAGTCAAGGACTACCTGTATAGATACATTAGAAACAGAGGTAGTTTGCAAAGATTAAAAAATATATAATACCTGTGTAACGAATGGAAATTTAAATTAGATTTACAATGGTACCTCAATACTCAACTGCTTTGAAACTCATCAAATTGGGCCCCACACAGTAGGGGCCATAGGTGAGACCCCAATCACCACAGTTGGAATTGACTGCAAAGAAAGGAGGTGAGCCAACACAATGTCATGCTGTCAACCTCAGTCCCCTGAATAAATCCAGAAGAATACCATGGTTTATGGTACCAAAACCCACTAAGAGGTTAAGTTACGCAAGAATGGATTTAAATATGTATTTTAAAAAGTTAGGTGATAAGAATGATTTGGAAAAGATTAAACTAGATATGTTGCTGTTTCTAGTAACTGTTAATGGACTTTTGCTGACCAGAGCTGAATGTGAGGCTTTAAGGATTTGTTTATAGATAAGAGATGGAATATAGAAAGAAGAAATCATTTGTTGTATTTTAACAGATATGGATAAGTTACTAAAATTGTTTATACTTGTGATGAAGGCAGAAGTGATTTCTTAACATATTTAACATTTTTTCTTCATTTTCCTTTTTTATTTTTCTTTCAATTCTTTTCTATTTTTTTTACTCCTTAATTTTTTACTGTGCATTACTTTTTATCTTTTTAATTGAAATGTTCAATGTTGTTAAAATTGTTACCCACTTTATTGGCTTGATTCTTAGGTTCATGGAAACTGTTGCCAAATATGAAATGAATAATTGCATAAATTGCTTTAGATAAATTGAACTATACTGTTTTGAAAAATATCTGATACATCTAAGTTACTTTGTATGTTGTTATTTTTGTATTAATATCTTCCTTATGCTTATGAAAATCTTCTTTCTTGACAGCTTTAAAGAACCTCCTCTTCTTACTGGTCCTTTAGAGCAAAATGCTAAGCTTCGACAAGCAGAAAAATTATTTGAAAACCAGCTTGTTGGACCAGAATCTATTGCAAATATTGGTGGTAAGCACAAATATTTGATAGAGATTTTTAATCCTTAATTTTTATAGTTTAATCTGCTTAATAAGTTTACATTTTCCCCCCAGAAATAATTTCTAGATTCTAAACTATAAAAATTCTGAATTTTAAATAACATAAGATAATTTCTAACCAATAAAGTTTTATGCTGATATAATATTACTGTATCACACAAATTAGCAAAACTCATACACATGTTTGTGAATAAATGTGATATTAACAAAAACAAAATCAAGTCCTTTCATTGTTCATATGCAAAGACTTTACCAATTTTCATAGATTCTAAATACTGAGGTACAGTCAAGAAGAATGTATGCATTTTTATTTAAAATCATGTTAATTTGTTAAGCTTGAATTTCAGTCCAAAATCTGGTAATAGTAGGATAAGCATAAATTATGTGAATTAATATTTGACCTATAGAATGGCATTTCTATCAATCAAATATGGAAAATACAATTAAATAATATTTCTATATTTACATTTTTATATAAACCAGATCTGAAAACTATCATAACAGCTTTTTCTTTTACTAAAGGACACCATTGAATGAACCAATATATATGGAACAAGTTTCTCTTGTATCAACAAACTATTGATCAAAAGAGACAATTTTATTTTTAAAGTACCTTACACTGATTTGTTGTAATAGAATCTTCAAGCTCTTTATTCCAAAGTGTTATAAAAATAATATTAATTCATTAGATTATAAAATGAATGTTAATTATTTTCATATCACTTTTTCTTATAACATGGAATGTTAAGGGGCTTACATAGACAAATCTTACTTATAATTTCAAAAGAGGAACTGAAATTGCTCTTTTACAAGACACTAATATTTACCCATAATTTAAAGAGTTCTTGCTGAATGCTTGGGTGAGAGAGATATTTGGCAAAAGCTTTAAATAGTTAGATTACAGAACATTTAGCATTATTGAATTTGTATGATTTAACATTTACACTCCTGATAATTACTTTGAGCATTGGTATGTAATGATTAGATATAATTATTAATAAATATAATAATAATAATAATGTAATTTATAATTAGAGAAATAAACAGACCCTTGGATCCTTTTCCAAATTGTAACATCTTTGTATGTAAATTATGCTTTCAAATATGCAATATTTTGCAAGTATATATGTACAGATTTAATCCAGTGATTATTCAGCATATTTTAAATTTTCTATCATTAATATCTCCTCTCTCCTTATTTATGCATTGTAAGTTATAACCTTACAAGAGAGTAATATAAATACATCTTGTAAAGAATTCCTGATTGTATTGCTTGTAAATCATAACATTTTAATTGAACAAATAGAAAAAATATTATGTTTATTAACAGGGATTAAATTTCAACTTTACTTAAGAGTTGATTCTCAGTTTCTGCTTTTTGCTCACCTTTTCTGGAGTGCAGGATTGGCCAATACCATCCTCCATCCATTCCCAAGCATTGCAAATGCACTCCTTGCTCATGTTTTGAAATTCTGATTCAAAAATAGTATTTGCTATCATAAGTTATCTTAAGTGCTTGTGAGCAATTAGTCTATCTTATTTCATTCCAGTCTAGAGAAATCTTGAGATCCAGTTGGCCACAATATCAATATATCACTTCCTTTCCAGTGGTTGGTCACTGCCTATAAGCCCACTTCATCCTGGGCTGCTGTGTTCTCATCTGGCCAGCAGCACTTTTTTTCTTTCCATTTGATTTCATGAAAGCTCATGAAATCCAGTACAGTGTTTTAGTCACCAAGCTTTCTTTATTTGTTTTGACAACGCATTTGCATCACATTCTTTCATCTTCCAGTTGGGTGGGGGGCTGTCCTTTTTTTTTTGTAAATTTTATTTGAGTTTTCACAAAGAGAAAAAAAATACAAATAAAACATCTTTTTTTGAAAGCAGCATAATCCCAGGTTACATTTCTTTGTACAGACACAAATTCAGGTTCATGCTCATTTTTATATTCTATTCCATATCTTATTACTATTTTACATTTTCTGCATAGCTTCTCCCCTCTTTTAATTTTCTCAATTTTATTTTAATTATCTCATCTCAATTCAAATCATTGTATTTATATTTTTTGTCTGTCCTGTTTCAATTATCTATTATCTTTTCTCATTAAACAAAATTTCTCCTGTAGTTACTGATTGGAGTATGACGCCTTTATATCTTTTCCCTAAAGTTGTAACATTCAATATAATACATAAGTTCCATTTGGATTCTGCTTGGTACATTCTTAAAATACACACTGTATTCTTAAAAAAAGAAAAAAATTATAAATATGTATAATTAAAACATTCCATTCCAAGTCAATTCTATCATTAATATTAATATTCCCTTCCTAATTCAATTTTCTCATTTATTTTATTTCACTTATTTTATTCACAAACATTTCACTAAATTACACTAACTATTTTATCCCTCATTTTAATCATACGTTGTTTCCAATTTTCTAAAGTTATTTCTATTACTAATATAACAATACAATCTTATGTGCCTTTACAGAATCCCTTTTTCAGTTAGATTTTCACCCATTATCTCTAAATAGGTCCTGTTTCTCTATATCTTGCTTCGGTCCTTTGTAACTTCTTTTCCTTTCCTTCTTCCCTCTCTTTTTCTCTCTCCCCTTTTTACCCCCTTGTCTCTCTATTTCTCTCTTCTGTATTCCCCTTTTCTGTTGCTTTCCAGTATTATACTTATTTTTCGAATTATTTTTCTTTTCTTTTTTTTTTTTTAAGTCTTAAATCCTCCATTCTCTTTCCCTCCTTTCCTTTTTCTTCCCCACATAAAATTACTTGTTCATTAAAGATGGCTTCCTCTTTGTCCCAGTCTTCTTGTTTTGCAGTCTTTTCTTATTGTTTCTCATAGTTCCAAATCTCCATTTCTAAGAATTGAAAAACGAAACCAAAAGAACCCTTCCCTTCTTGTGCATCTTCTTTGTACTTTTTAAGTTCCATTTTCAATTCATCCAGAAGTGGTGCCATTGTATAAATTTTTAAACAACCACCCAATTGATTTTAGTCATTCAAATATAATAACCAAAAATCCAAAGATCACCAAATAATCCAAATACACGCAAGCTGTTTCTTTTTTGCTCTTTTTTTCCACTTTCTCTTCCTGGGGTTACTATTTAGTTGCAAAGTTTCAGTTAAAATGTATCTTTTAGAAGTCTTGTTGAAGTTTTACTTTAGATTCTTTTTAATTCCAGGCAGTCTTCTCCCTCTTCCAGATCCTGCCCTTATTCTTTTTCTCTCCCTTCCTGCTTATGAAAAAGAAAGTTTTTAATGTCCAGAAATCTTTATTATCCCTTTGGCATTTTGTTTTATTTTCAGCTGAATTGCCTATTGATGTCAAAGCGGATTTTTCCAATTTCTTATTTAAGTCTCTTAGTTGTCAGTATAGGGAAGGAGAGAGAAGAAAAAAACAAAAACCCAAACCTTTCCCTTTTCACTTTCCTTCGCTGCTTCCGACTCTTCTTTGGGAGCGATGTTATTTTTTGTAAGTTTAAATTCCAGGGTACCTTGGTTGTTGCTTTTACAATTTAACCCGGTCAGCCAAAACTTTCACTTCTTATCTTCCTCCTGCACATTCTTTTCTGGTCGAATTCTCCTTTGTGGTGGCCATTCCTGACCACCGCTGCAACCGCCTTCGGGAAAGGGAGTAATGGCCAGCTGAGGAGGAGAGATACGGCTCTCCTCGACCCTGCTGGCGGTCTCCCCCCTCTTCACCACCTCTACGGGGTGGCTTAGCCCCGAAACCAGCCGGCTCGGGGCGCTCCAGCGGCGAGCCCAGACAGAAACCATGCACAATCGCGGATTTCTGTCTGTCGCCGAAGCCCTACAAACCGGAAGTCGGTGGGGGCTGCCCTTTTGATTTTTCCCCAAGCTGGGTACTGTACTGTTTTTCAACCTGTGCATCTTGTACTAGAATATTTGAAGCTATTTTCCTTTGTTTCTGTGAAGCTGAGCCATTAGTTCTTCATTGCCACAAAGTTTCTGTAGAGTCATAGTAGAACACAGAAACAAACAAACAAAACCTTATTTTCTTTCTTTTGATCATTGTGGCATCAATGTAATGACTATGCAATAAAGGTAGCAGAAAGAATTTGCATTGGTGTCAAAGGGGAGAATATGAGAAGGAAGTGTGAAGACATCCCTGCCTGCAAACTTGGGAAAGCCAAGAAAAAGGAGAAGGACTAGTGAAAAGGGAACTGTTCTTTTAAAAAGGCAGGCAGTTATAGACTTGTCCTCTCGCTGAGGCTTACCTTCTGTGCGTGAATGAAAGGGGAAAGAAGCGGAACAAGGGTCCCCAGTGATCATAGTCCAAATTGAGCAGTAACCTGGTCCATTGCTAAACAATTGCAATCAAGATAGAAATCTTTTAAATCAATCTTGGGAACAACGAAGTAGTTTAGAGTGCTGTACAGAATTGTTCTAATTTATATATTGTATATTATTACTCAAGCTTGCATTATTCCATTTTTTTTTAAAAAAAAAGCAGCTGTCACATGTATATTTTTGTGAGTTAAAGTAATTGTTAATCCTTTGTAGATTCTATTAATATGTTCAGCAACACGGGTTTCTGTTTTTTGCTAATTACAAACCCAATAACCCAATAAGCTTAACATCCCTAAAACTGAATTTTGACTGCATTATGCCAGAAAGATACTGAAAGGGGGTGGGTAAATTACTTAGTAATCCTTTGGCTTTTAGATTTAAATTAATCAAGCATCATGGCATGATATACATAGAAAAGTACATACATATTCTAGATTTACTACCAACATTTAAAAAGAACATCTTAAATTGTATTCTGAATTCTCAAGAGCAGATTGTTTTTGTTTTTTGTTAGTGTGCAAAATGTAAGATTCTCATAAGATATCAATAAGCTCATCTATTTTCCTGGAAAAGTCCAGGAAAGCAAGTAGAGAACTTTTGCTTCAGAAATCTGTTTATTTCTAAGGAACGGATATGAGAAGGAAGGACTTGATTTCCACAATCCTTCCAACACCGATAAAGACGTCTATCCAGAAAACTGTATTATGTATTTATCGTTTTTCATTTTGTAATTTGTCTAGATCCTTGCATGTTCTCTTTTTTAAAGTGATTTTCTTTTTAAAGTAATAAACCGTTTATTTCTCTGTTCTTGAATAAAGGGCTGGTTGTCCTTATCCTATGCCTTCCTCCTACAGAGTAGGGAGACTGCAATAGAGACATAAAGTCATTCCCCCCACTAGTTTTATCTTGTTATAAAGGCAGCCCTGGTGATGAAAATACCACTTGTCTTATGGTGGTGAGAGGAATGCTAGGCAAGGCATTCCTTGAACAATAAGCAGTAGTAGTAAGACCTACCAAGTTACTATTCTAAAATAGCAAATAGTGCCAGGCAAAAACATGAGTTCTCAGAAGAGGAAGTTTGAAACTTTCATCATGCTATCCTCTAGGCTCTTTTGATGGTTTGCTGAAAAAAGATTAAGTTAGATAAGGCGGAGTAAGAGAAAATGAAATTAACAAAAAAGTAATTGTAGTTGTCTTTTATAACAATAGTTTTAATGTGTTTTATGAGAAGCTAGCAGTTTCTGAATAGTTTTCTCAGCAATTTCAGTAGAGCCAAGGAAGTTATTTTTAGAAATCTAAGATAGATAATAGCCATCATAGTGATAAGGTATAATCATCTGATAAAATTAAAGATGCTCACAATTTGGTCCAAACAACCATTTGAGACCTGCTATTCCATATATGGAACTTGCTGTTTCATGTATTAGAACTTTATACAATATGTGACCTCATTCTTTCATTATCACCTCTATGTGAGGCAGTCTTTAGAAGCAATTCAGAAGTTGCAGCTGGTATAAAATCATGATTTTATATAATGTGGATTTTTACTGTTAATTGTTATTGTAAACAGCCATGACTGTAATATATAAATAAAAGAACTATATCAATAAATTCCATCAGTGTCGACTTCCATTGATCTGAAGTAATTGCGGTAGGTTTCCAGCCCAATTCATAGTGCTTTAGGTCATAAAGCCCTTAATAGTGCAGCACCAAGTTATATTTTCTATTCATTGTAAACATTTCGGGAGGTTCTGTTGAAGATCCACCCTTCTGGGAAGGTATATGGGATATGGACCAGGTAATAGGCCTCCTTAGTAGCAGCCTCCCACACTATGATTATGTTCCCCCTGGAAGTAGAGGATCCCTGAACCCATTCTTTGTTTTCTGGAAGCAAGTTGTGTTAAAACTGTTTCACCGAGTTTTTGAGTATTCAGGCAACCATGATATATTATTTGTTACTTACATTACTGTTTTAATTGTAATATATTTTGAATTGTTGCTGCCCCCCCTGGTCTATAAACAAGGTGGTCTATAAGTAATCAATAAAGTTTATTGCTAATGGAGGCAAATGCATTTCAGTGATAATCTTATATTCTATTTTTGTAAAAATATGCCAGTATGGAAGGCAAACTTCAATTTTGCTCTTTCAGGGTTTTGTGATATCACTATAGAAAGCATTTTTGGTGTTCTGAAATCTTATATAAGCCTTGTGTGTTAAATAACATGCATAGCTCATGTCACTGCTCGTCTCTCATAGATGTGTTGTTTACTGGTACTGCTGATGGAAAAATTCTAAAGATTGAAAATGGGAAAATTTCCACTTTAGCGCGTCTTGGCCATGGTCCTTGTGGTAAACAAACACTACTTATTTATTATTCCTTTTATACTGTGATTTGATTGATTTGTCTAGCATTTCAGACTTGTTACATACCTTCCACTGAATATTTTTAAATATATGAAAATTTATTTAATCATATGTAGCTTGTGCATTTTGTAGTGGTATTTTTGGTTGTGTGGTTGTGAAAAACATGGACATTTGATTAACAAACTCTTTTAAAGTGAAAGCCTATAGGAATGGTCCTCTGCAATAAAATCTTGATATTTCTGGTTAACATTCATTAAGTACTATGATACAATATTCTTCATTATGTGCTTAGTTTTATTTAGCAAGTGAAAAACTATTTTAAAAGGATCAGATTATAAATGAACACCAGAATTTAGGACAAAATGAAATCAGATGTATTGACTATAAAAGCCTATCTTGCCTTATGTTTAGAGGACATTTATTTGTATTTATTTACAAGAGCCAGTTGGTGTAGTGGTTAAAGCATCAGGATAAAAACCAGGAGACTGTGAGGTCTAGTTGTTCTTTGGCACAAAGTCAAGTTAAATTAATTTTGGGCCAGTCGTACTCTCTTAGCTCTAGAAAGGAGGCAAGGGCAAACCACTTCTGAAAATCCTTGCCAAGAAAACTGCAGGAACTTGTCCAGGCAGTCTCTGAGAATTGGACACAATTGAGCAGAAGAAAAAAAGAATATTTATTTATTCAGAGATGGGCAGTAAATGATTCTCCATGTGTTACTGAACTCAGTTCCTTCAGACTTAACCAGCTTGATCAGGAAAAAAGAGGTAATAAGAGTTGCATTCCAGTATTTGGAAACTGATGTATTGTCCATCCCTTCAAGTCTTGCAAGATGCTCTGTTTGAACTACATCAAAATAATATGGGTTTTGTCAATATTTAATTATATGAAGAAAAAGTATATAAATCTAAACAGATATTTTTGAATGTATCAAATTTATATCTTTTATTAGTCAGATTCAAGAATATTGATACTCTGTTTTTAGAAGCATAATAGAAACTTTTGTTTAGAAGCTGCATACTTTATATCTATTTTATTTTCTAAAAGGTACAAGAGAAGATGAGCCTACATGTGGGAGACCACTAGGAATCCGTATTGGACCAAACAATACTCTTTTTGTTGTAGATGCTTATTATGGGCTGTTTGAAATAAATCCTATCTCAGGCAAGTTTACCGCTTTCTCCCCACATACACATTGTGCCAAACCCTAACTGTTTTAATTATGGTTTGAATGGTAAGCTGTAAACCATGATATACAAGTGACACCTATTTTGAATTCTGCTTCAGAATCTGCTATATTATTTTTTTTTGAATTTTTAATGTTAAATAAATTCAGCAAAGGTATAAGTAGAAATGATATGCTCATGATTACATACAAGTACAAAAGAGTTTTAAAAAAATGTTTTTCTGTGACCAGGTGCAGTCAGGCCACTGGTGTCTTCAAAGATTCCTATTGAAGGGAAGAACTTATCCTTTGTGAACGATCTTACAATGACTCGGGATGGAAGGAAAATCTATTTTACAGACTCTAGCAGTAAATGGCAGAGAAAAGATTATCCCTTATTGATCATGGAGGCTGCAGATGATGGACGGTAAATGTACTAGCCTGGCTTATAAATTATATAATAAAATTGTGATCAAGCATCACATGGAGAATTTTCTGGGGGTGGCATTTCTAGAAACAAATATTCTTTTTTGATGGTTATTATTAAAATATTTACTTAAAATAGTGAAGTAACATTTAAACTTCATCTGTTGACATTTTTAATTGAGATATCTTTCCCTATCCTTTCTTCCCTGGCATATGAAATCTGTATTCTTTTCTATACATAGTTGCTTATCCCCAAGGACAGTAGCCCCCAACGTTTTGGGCAACAGGGACCAGTTCCGTGGAGAGAGGGGTATAGTTTTGTGTGCGGCCTGCCTGCCACAGAAGGGGCTTTGCTTATTTGCGAGGCCCAGTTTGTGGCATGCTGCAGACCGGTGCCAGTTCATGGATCCAGGGTTGGGGTCCCTTGCCCAAAGAGAATAACATGGTATATGCAGGGGCTTAATAGTTGGTAGTTTGGTGCTACTGGCCCTGTTATAAACCTAAATACCACTTTGTTTCTTTATACAATTCAAACATTGAAGATAAATATAATTTTCAAGATACCTCAGAGACCACTGTATTCCATATTAACCTGTGTGGGCCTTAAAATCTAATGATTGGTGAGGTTTTTTTTTGATTTGGGCAAATTAAAAGGCCTTCTTAATAGTATAAGCTCTGAAACGCCCTAGCCTGAGAGGCCAGTTGTTCCATCTGTGCTCGGTTTTTTTAATAGATTCAGCTATAGGCTGTTCTTATACATATTGGTTTTTTTTTATATATGTGTATAAGAACAGCCTATAGCTGAATCTATTAAAAAAAACAGCACAGATATATAGACATATGGTTCTCAAAGATCATATTAAAATTGAGAGGGGATTAATAATAATTAGTAATACCCTGTAATTGTTATGTCTTTAGTTTACTTGAATATGACACAGTCACAAAGGAAGTCAAAGTCTTAATGGAAGGACTCAGATTTGCAAATGGAGTTCAGCTGTCTCCTGCTGAAGACTTTGTGTTGGTGGCTGAAACAACTATGGCAAGAATACGAAGGTAGAAGAGATACTTGTAAGGGTGCTGTATAGATCCAGCTATTTTGTTAAGAATTAACTAAATGCTAGTTTAGTTTATACTCATAGATGTTTCCTATTTATGTATTATCCTTGCTAAGCAAGGAGGATTTTTTACTAGGTCACTGTGTTCTGTAATTTCTAAAGAACGATACTGGCTAACTGAGATGCTATGTAGGTTTTGTGTTCTTTATTTTTTAGTAAGCTGTAAACTTTATTCTGTCCTTTGTATTTGTTCTGTATTGCTATCGTTTTAATGTATTCTGTGTTCTTCATACATGTTTTATAGTGTTCCGATCATTAGGGTACTAAATTAGAAATATAGCATAAAATATTAATACATTCTTTGTTTCATATAGCTCTAAAATGTTATGCGTTTTTAGGTATTATGTATCTGGTCTAATGCAAGGTGGAGAGGACCTGTTTGTTGACAACATGCCTGGTTTTCCAGACAACATCCGTTTAAGCAGCTCTGGAGGTTATTGGGTAGCTATGTCAGCTGTTAGAGCAAATCCTGGATTTTCTATGATGGATTTCTTATCTGAAAAACCATGGATTAAAAGAATCATACTTAAGGTAAGAAACAACAGTAACAAATCTTATGTATTCACATACTAGACTGAGCTCAGCATTCTCTAAATGAAATGTTTTTGAATAGGTTCCCTTTGGAAAGAATTTATTTCTTCTTCCTCTCCTGTTCCAGGGTCTAGGCATTGCAACTTTTAAAAAAGTACTCTATTTGTTTAATAACGTAGAACAAAAAAAGGATAAAATATTTTAAAAAGTAGAGAGGAAATAAAAAGAATGCAACTACCATTGTAATAGTTGTTAAAGTTGCAGTCAATGTCAGCACACTGAAAAGTATGGATTCATATGCACTCAAAAAAGGGCTTGTATGACTTTGTATTTTTAATTCTGAATTTCAGGATGAATAACAAATGAAAATCATACTACCAGTTTATTTTGGTAGCAGCAATGATTGTTTGGCTCCTTGTTTGGCCATCCTTAAATATGGCAGTTAAAAGAAAGTTTGGCAAATAAATATTTTCAGTCTGTAGTTCAGTAAATGGTTCTGTTGCTTTTACTGACATTTTGCATGTATAATGTCAACTTCTGGCTGTTGGAAAACATCGTGCCTCCCCCTCCATTACACATGCACAGTTGCACAATCTCGATCTGAGTACTTAGCAATCGATTGCAAATGCAAACAGCTTGCTAAGTAAACCCCACCACCACCACGTGATTGCTATTTGCAATCCTCTCTGCAGGCTTCAGCAGAAAGTCAGTGGAGAAGTTGGCAGAGAAGATTGCAAGCTGCTGCTGCTTACCAAGAGGATTCCCTTTCATCTCTGTGGGCTGACTGAAAGAGCTGCCTGCTAAGGGGAGCTGAACTCCTTCAATGTTGTGGAGATGATCGGAGACTTCTGCACTGTGCGGAAGGCATTCTCTTCTGCATGGAGAAATGACATCTTCCCACAGGGTGCAGAAACAGAAGTCGGATCCTGATGATTTGAGCTCTGTTTATGCACCTACAGAAGGAGTTCTCTTCTGCGTGCAGAGGAGAGATGACATCTTCCCATTACCCTGTGGAAGGCATTCCTTTATACATTCAGAGAGATGACATCCTTTGGCAAGTAGCTTTTTCAGCCAGCCCCTGGAGATGAGTGGAAGCCAAACCCAAGCATAGGGCCAGCACAATAAGGTTAATAGTGTGAGGTCCCTCAAGTGGGTGGGAGAGGCCTGGGGCAGGCCACACAGAAGTGTCTGTCCCTCAGAGGCTGAAAATCCTGCTTAGATTTCAGCCGGGAGGATTTTCAGCTTCTGAAAGTGTTCCAAGGTCTCTCCTATCTAGACCCCAAGCACTTGTGCCCCCTACATGGATTTCTATCCACTTAAAAACTCATATGATCACTGAACCCACACGGTTGCTTAATGACTAGTGCTGGGATTGCAGTTGTTGAGCAAAAAGTCCACATGAGCAGTCATTAACAGTCACATTCCTCAGTGATCGAGATTCCAGCTCAATTTTGATCATAAACTGAACTATATGAAGAATCACTGTAAGAGTCATGTATGTTGAAGTGGAGCAAAAAGATTATCCTACTTAATGTGATATAGCTAACATTCTTTTTATGTATCATACTTATAGTCAATAATTTGATATGTGAGATGTTATCATTTGCTATTTTTCATATTTCTACCATAATTTTAAAAAGTTAGACAATTGATAGTTATATAAGTTCTAATTAACATTGTGTTAGGGTATTCTCCAATTACGCATTTGAAAATGGTATGAATATAAACCTAATGTAAAAAAATTCCAACTAGTATTGAAGTTTTTTGCCCATTGATTAACAGTAACAATTATTACCACTTATATTCCAGAGTGCTTAACTTTGTTTTGCATTATGCATAGTTGGATATTTAAAACATCTAATAATGAAACAGATGATAGTAATTGATTCAATCAACTCAAATGTTGTAATGTTGATGATTAAAAGAAAATTGTCTATAACATTATTGTTTGTGTTGCAGCTGCTCAGTCAAGAAACCGTGATAAAATTTGTGCCCAAGTACAGCCTTGTGATAGAATTAAGTAATACTGGATCCTACAGAAGAAGCTTCCATGATCCAAATGGAATGGTGGCAACATATGTAAGCGAAGCACATGAATATAATGGACATCTCTATTTGGGGTCTTTCCGATCTCCTTTTATTTGTAAGCTGGACCTTAAGGATGTCTAATTCTGAGTTGAAAGCATTACTGCTGTCACCTTGAATTACTCTAGAAAGACATAGAAAGATGAGACACATTTTGGACAAAAAAGAAGAATGGAAGCACAGTCAGTCATAAGCACTGTAACACTGTTTAACTAGCAGGATGCAGAATTAGTTCTTACTTAGGCATGCCATACCTTAAAACCTGTGAATTACTTTGTTTAAATTCTCTTTCAAAATGGTGGGCTGTGTAGATGTTTTTGGTGCACTGTACCCTCTTTATAGCACCTTTTATTACCTTTCCAGAAGGTAAATAAAATACAAAATTACCTCATGAAACAATATTTGTTGCATTTAATATTTTAGAAATGATGCTATTCAAATCCATTATATGTATGTGGTCAGCTTTTCAAAGTTCAAAATTTTGTCCTGTAAATACATCATTGCTCTGAAGTTGCTTAGATGATATAATACAGTGAACTTATTTCCAATAGGGATCTCTCTTTATAAGCATGTTTTAATGCATGCACTTTATAATAGCAATGCAATTTATAGTTGTATTAATAAATTGAACATTCTACAGCTATAATTCCATTTCTAGTCAATGCTATTTTCTGCATGGATAGTTTTAAACACATGGAATTATTTGTATGGGAGTCTCTAAATCTAAGGTTAATATAATTAATTTAGGAAAAGCTGGTTTGACTGCTTATTGTTCCTCTATTTAATCATCGACATAAGTCCTTAAGGCAGAAGAATGTTTTAATATGGGGGTGGTGGTGGTAAAAAATAGTCAGGATGGCAGCCATAACCATGCAGTCAAAAGCTCTACTGCTTTTTAAACATTTGTCATTTGTATATTAAAAATTGATGGGGCTTTGGTCAGATGAATGTGGGAACATATTTTTTTTTACCTGTCTATTGCATAAATCCATTTAATAGCCTTAGCTTTTAAATGAGTAATTGCTCCTAGTGCTGCTGAATATAACTCAATCTAACAGACGTGGTGAATGTTATTTAAAATTACAGTCCAGTAACATGTAGAATTCTGTCATTTCTCCATCTTGCATTAAATTCTCATACTATTTCACTGATACATGTTGGTACTAATTTCCAAAGAAGCCTTTATGCCTCTATCAGCTAATCAAAACTTCATTAATTTAATATTAAATATGTGGTTTAATCAAAAGTTTGTTAATTATGACTGAAACTTCTTTTTCAGATGCATAAGAAACTAATCTTGGCTACCCAAAGCCTATTTTATTAAATAGATTTGGCATTATAAAGTTAAGTGCTTTCATTGTGTATGAACAGTTTTTCCCCCCAAAAAATGTTGACATAAAGAATTTAAAAATCAATATAAAAAAGCCATGCGTATATTGTGTTGTTTCATTTGACCAGTTCCATCTCACGCATCCCTCCTATCCTCCAAACAGCCCAGGTGGAACTCAAAATCCAAAGATAACAAAAATAAATTGCATGTTGAATTAAACTGCATAGGCAGAATGCATATTTTTCTGCTGCTGCTTTTCAAAGAGGGAGTATCATCTACAGAAAATATCTGCATCAGGACATATCACTGTCTTACATGAACAACCCCCCCACCCACACACACACATCAAAACAAAAACTTCAAAAAAAAATGCAACAACCCAGAGGCAAACAGGTTCTTCTAGGTTGCAGATGGTTCACAAGTCCTGCATTTGAGCTTAACACACAAGGGAGAGGAAGGAAGGATTGTTTCAAAACATCCATTTCACTCTCTTGGTAGAAAGCTAGTAGACACCTACAGTATATAGTTTTTGTGGAGTGAGAGTTCCAGAATACTCCAGAAGACAGTGTTTTGCCTAGCAACAAAGAGAGAAAAGAGTAGGAATTATAACAAATGCAATGTCCAATAACACAACAAATATGGAATTTGGAAGCAGGAGATACAAATTTTGAGCTCACTAAGGGAAAATGTCAGTGCCTGACAAAATAATCTCTATGTCTTCATCCGATACTAATCAAGACATTCTTGCTTAACTACAGCATTTCAAGATCAGCCACTTGCTACTACCCCTTGATCGACTTTTAAGTCCCACCTTTTGTAAATCACTGTTTATAGTAATGATGAGCAAGCGAAAAGTTCCTGAAATCTACCATGGTACAAAAGTGGGGAAGGGTGTGCCCTGCCAAATGTTGACTATAATACTGAATAGTCCCAACTAATATAATTATTGAGTTTTAGTTCATCAATCTTGAGAGAGCTTTAATTGGTTATTTCCTGGAACTACGGTAGTGGAATTAGGATCAGTTGACAAGATACGCTAAGCCATAATATAGTTTATTTAGTTTTGACTTAGTATGTTGTATGAATGTAGCCAACTGTTGTTCATTCAATAAACAAAACTTAAACCAGTTCATGCTTTAACCTATAAATTCACTCTTTGGGAACAGGCTAATTCTGAGAACATAGCCTAACAGAATGTATTCCAGTTTCAGAACTGAATTTATAATGTTTTCATGCAAAAAAAGGGGGGAAAATCAATTTCTAGTTCTTTTCCCTATCAAGGTTATTTTTTTGTTTTAATACAGCATAATTCAGGGGAAAACCTTTTTCTAGCAAATGCACCCTGCAGGCTTGAGAATCATGTTGACTAACATGCAAATTAGCCAGAATTTATTCATTAAACTGCCTATTTAGAGTTTACATATCTGATTTGGTCTAGATAAATTTTCTTTAGTAAGTTAAGTAAATATTAAAGGTGCCAGGACTAAATGCACATATCCACTTTCACATTGCTACATAATCTATTTTTGACTGTGATAGAAAGATTGTGAAATAAATGTGTTATTGTTCAGAAGCAAGATCCAAAAGATGTTCTCTAAGGAATATTTGGAGGAAGCGCTGTACATTTTTGCTTTATTAATTTAGAAATTCACACGTACTCTTCTTTAGGTTTTTCTTACGTGTTACGATTTTTTTAAATGTAGAATTTGGCTTCAAAAGCTTACCTGGGAAATTCTGAAGCAAATCCCCAAACCGCCATTTCAATTGATGGGCATGTTAGCAGAATTTGAATAAAATTTAAAGACTCCCCCATTGACAGACCGAGAAATCAAATGTATGAAAATATCTTGATTATATCAAAACCCAAATAGTATTTCTGAGTATATGTATCTTTTGAAATTAATAAATGGTTTATCTTACCTGGTTATAACAGCAGTAACTCAGTGTGTGGCACTAAGGAGTTAGCTATCTGTTTCATGTCCTTGGAAAATCCAGCTGGACTCAGTGACTCATGGTAGATCTCCACCCCAAAACCAAACATTACCGTTTGAAAAGTTAAGAGTTTTTGCACACAGCAATCTTAAACTATCAGGCACCAAAGTGTAAAGAAGCTCCACAAAAGAATGTATACTTTCTTAAAATGTGATCTATTTTATTTAACAGTGCTCCCCAATGGAGAATTTAAAAATAAAACTTCAATTACTTGGATTTAACTCATGCTTAAATTGATAAGAGGGATTCCCATTTCAATACAGTTTTGAAAAACCGAAAAGCATGGGTTGCACTAATGAAAGGAAACGAGCTTGGCTTTTAGTATCAACTTTTGAGAGTCCGTGAAAGTTGTTTCAGGTATTATTTATGTATTATATGTGCTGCCTATCTCCCAATAAGGTGACTGGACATTTATATGTTAACTCAAGGGCAAAGATACAACAATGCTCCCATCTATTTTCCTCACAACCACCACTCTGTGAATGATCTGAAGGAGAATGATAAGCCCCCAAACTACCATCTGGCTTTCATATCTAAGAGAGGCCTAAAATTGAATCTCTTGGTTTCTAGACCATCACCTTAACCATTACATCTGGATCTGCAGTATTTTTCTTTACATGTGTATGATTTGCATCTAGTTGTAGCAAAAACAAAAATGTGAGATGAAGCTGTTTAATATTCTGTGCTAATTCTGAGAACAGAACATTTTATTGCTGGGCAGTGGGTATATGCGCAAAATATCCATAAACACTTATGTTATCAAAACTAATGCATTTAACTATTCAGTGCTACATGAATAAAAGAAAATGCAATGGATGCAAGAAGCATCCATCTTGGAGCTGCTGAACAGCATGAAGCATCTTAAGTGACTTGGCACATTGCCTTTTCTCTCTTGTGATGTTTAACACATTTTCATAGTACTTTAACACAAACTCCAAAACAAAACAAATGTTGAGCAGATATTTATTGTAGCAGTACATAGTGACTCGTCTGAAAAATCTGTTACTGTAAAGTCTGCATCCTGTAGATATATTTCTCAGGTGTATCTATTTCAGCAGTCCTCAACATGATGCCTTCTAAATGCCAGTAGCAGATAACATAAATTACTATATTGAAAGATCATTGGTTTGAAAAAGACAGTATTGTACTACCAAAACAATTATGCAAGCTACCCAGTAATTTACAAAAATATACTTGGTGTGCAGATATCTGAATTGCCCATTAACTCGACATACTTCTGACGAGAAAAAAGTGGAGAAAGTACAAGTAGTCCTCAACTTACAACAGTTCATTTAGTGACTGTTCAAAGTTACAACATCACTGAAAAAAGTTATGACCATTTTTCAAACGACCATTGGAGCCTCCCCATGATCCCATCAAAATTCAGACATTTGGCAACTGATTCATATTTATGACAGTTGCATTGTCCCGGGATCATGTGATCACCTTTTGCAACCTTCTGATAAGCAAAGTCAATGGGGAAACTAGATTTACTTAACCGTGTCACAAACTTATCAACTGCAGTTGTTCACTTAACTGTGTCAAGAAAGGCTGTAAAATGGGGCAAAACTTACTTAACAAATGTCTTGCTTAGCAACAAATTTTGGACTCAATTGTGGCTGTAAGTTGACTACCTATATTATGTATGCAGGTAGCTCCTTTATAAAAGTGAGAGATGAATCTGACAAAACACCTAATTGTGCTGTAAATGATAAATAGAGGAAAGAAAATGGTTGTGCAAGAATGAACCAGTCTACAAATAGTTTCTATGTGCTGGTGTGAGTCATTGTTGACTAGTCCCTATAGTTTCCTTTGCAAAATTTCAGAAGTGGTTTACCATTGCCTGCTTTCTAGGGATGAGTGTATGTGACTGGCTCAAGGTAACCCAGTTGGCTTTACCTCTAACACTTCACCAGACTGATAGTTCTATATGATTTCAGTTTTCTGAAAGGAAAAAGCCTCAATGAACTAATTTCAAACAGCAGACATTTTCACCCAGGTTCTTAGCTGGCTTTCTACATGTCTGTAAAAGTACTTCTTTTCATTTTGGAAGAGGACAAAATATGAAAATTCAGTCACAAAATAAATAGAATTAATGTCAGCAGAAATAAAATGAGTTATTTTGTATATAAATCTCCAGTTAAAACCAGAACTTATACTAACAGATGAACATAGTAGATTTGTTGGGATGGAAGTTGATTTGCATTAACACTTTGACATTGGGAATTTGTGCCTCAAATTAGGATAAAGTATTGTTTTACAAGGACTTGTGGAAAGACTAATAGGTTTCCCCTATGAAAATTGGCATTTGATGGAGGATTGGAATGGAGTGATACAAGATAGAATTTCTGAGAAAAACCTTAATGTGACTCAAGGTAAATTGCCAGAAGATAAAGGGATAGGAGAACTCATCAAATTTACAGGTGACACCAAGCTGTAGGGGAATAGTCAACACTTTAGAAGATTTAAACACCAAGCTCTATCCAATAAACACAACTCAGTGGTGA